CTCTTTGTACGATTTACGTGTTCACCTCAAAATATTTTGCCATTTCTATTTTTAAAACCACCGTCAATAAGACGTTAGAGCCTTATCTCACTGTTCCCAAAGCTAAGCAGTTTTCCTATGCAGGCCGACTTTAGTTCAGGTTGTTTGTGATCCTCAACTACCTGTTTGATGCGTCTCCAGCAAATGATGAAGGACTAGAGACAGTTTAATACTAGCGATCTTCAAGCTTACTTGCAGAAGTGAAAAGTTCAAGATGTCTTTCGATTGTGATTATTTTTAATATATATATCTGCTAAAATTGTGATTTGTGTTTTTTTGTTTGTTTTTTTTGTTTGCAGTGATCCGTATGTCAAGCTTTCTCTCTATGTTGCTGATGAAAACAAAGAGCTTGGTTTAGTCCAGACAAAAACTATTAAAAAGGTAAGTTTAAAAGAGACACATTGACATCCTGTTGCATTCTGCTTCCTCTTGTCTCCTATGTTACATCAACAGCCAAATTCAAAGGTTTTACGATGTAATCCTCAAACATCCCCTTAAAATTTTCCTCCAGGTTTTTGCATGAATTAGTGGAATCATTTCATTGTAGAAGGGGGGATAAGAAGGACAGGAAGGCAGCGGGAAGCAGTCCTCCCTTTTTAGGTTTGGTGAAGTCTATTCAGTTTTTTTGGGGAGGAGATTTTTTTCACAGCAGGGGGAGCTGTAAGTTGACATTGATGTGAATGATGATTAGTGATTCTTTTGATTGCAAAATGATATAAAATACATATCTTTTTTTTATTTGGTCTCCAGTGTAATTCATTCCCAAGTATTGTTTTTGTCTCTGAATATTTAGTGCGTAACACAAGGGCTCAAACTCTGCAATAGTAGCCTGACACAGCTTCTCAACAATACCAATATTTGTCATGTTCTTACAGAATGGTTTAGCCAGAAGCAATCTTCCAGCAAAAAGCTGCCGTAGGAGTTGGACAGCTCAGGCCTCCATGCAGGCAGACAATATGCTGCCAGTGGATATGATTGCTTTATAGGATATAAATAGCTTGACAATATACTGCTATGTGGAGCAGAAAAGGAAGTATCAGTACTTGGGCTCTTCTGCAGGTCCTTTGTTTCTTTAAGTGGGACACCTTTGACTGTTTCATTATTGTAGAAGCAGAGTGGATGGCTTGTGGCTGAATGATATGAAGCATTACGGAAAGCATGACTTAAAGTGGAAGAACTTGATGAGACTAACATCAGTATGAGCTCCAAAAGCAGTGATGATTTAGGATATCTCCTGCAGATTTTAACTTTTTTTTTTGTTTGCATCACTTTCACAGCAAAAAGTTGATTATCAGAGAGCACTTAGTTCAGTAGTACTTTTTGTCACAGTTTTATTTTATTACTGCATTGAAATGTTTTGCTAATTAATTAGTGACTTGTGAAATGTAGGCTTCATTTTCATTTGACTGAATCAGGTTTCAGTCTAACAAAATCTGTAATATGGAAGGCAGAAGAAAACATCTGATCTGCTCATCTGATTAATCTTAGAAAAATATATGAAAATCTTTGAGTCTTTATTTAAAGCTTAAATAATTATAATTGGATATAATCTGATTTGAATTCTTTCTCTTTTAAACTCTTGAGAGTCATTTGCACAGTTATGGGGTTTTAGCACCAAACTGGTCTAATCAAATATAAACTTTGTGTTTCAGACCCTCAATCCTAAATGGAACGAAGAATTCTATTTCCGGGTGAGTTCAGCTTTTAAATCTCCTGTGTCTTTATTATAACAGGACAGGACATAATTTGTAAACTTATTGTGGCATTGGTAAACTTATTCTGCTGTTTCACTGTTTTGTAGAAAAATGTATTGTGTGGATTAGTCCATATTGGCAGGAGAGCAATTGTAAAAATCAATTTTCATGTCTTGCCGCAGATGCTCAAATGATTTTAAGTCTGAACTTTGCGGAGAATTTTAATTACAGAAATTGGGATACAATACATCTTTATATTGTAAATACAAAGCAGCCCTTCATATTTTTGAGGTCTCTGTTGATAAAGCATCAAACATCTCTGAAATATAATTTCAGGCTAATATCTTTGAATTTAATATTAAAAGGTTGTTTTCCATCAGATATGAATTTCTTTGAGACATAACGATTGAACAGCTCCTATGACATCACTCATCACTGTTATTTTGTTACCAACACAGGTGTGCCCACAGAACCACAGGCTACTTTTTGAGGTGTTTGATGAAAACCGATTGGTAAGGTTCACACTTCCTCCCTATCTATCACTGTCTCATGCTACCCTTGAAGCAACTTTTTAGAGCATATCTGTTTCTGATAGCAACAAATGCTTCAATGCTGTTAATAGTATCATAGACTTTTATGCTTTATTCTGAAATATTTTGATATTTAGACACTAAAGTAGAATGACTCTTAAGACTAATTTGTCTGACATTGTAATGCTTCTTTTCATTTATTTTATTACAAACTTAATCAACTCTCTGTGATGACTTTTGCTGCCTTAAATAAATATGATCATTTTTAGCAGTTTACTGAGGCAGATTTATGTACTAAACAACTAACAGCTTGTTTGCTTGTTTCGTTGCTCAGCTACAACAGCATCGGGCTTTTAACAGCTCTTGCATTCATTGATAGTCAAATATCAAAGTACTTCCTTTCTGAAAACACTAATTTCCTCCACATGTAAAAATACCCCAGTGGCAGGCCTTCAGTTGCCATAACAACTATATAAATGTCAAGCGGTGCAACAATTAGCATTGTAAGCAGGTATTCATGATGAATTTAATAATTCACGCTACTGTGTAAACCTGACCCTGAGGATATGTCAACGAAGCTGATGGAATAGTGAAATGGTTTTTACGTAGAGTCTGGAGAGTAAGTGTATGACTAACACCAGGGTGATCTTCAATGTTTATATTTCCTAAATTACTTCCAGGGCTTTTTGTTTTGATGAAACGGACATTACATGCAGCTCAAGTTAATTTGGACGTTCCGATCCAGATAAGACTCGTACACCGTCTTTCTGGTCCTCACAAATTCAGAGGGCGCTGAAATTACGCCGTAGTTTCCTTATAACGCAATCAAACCAGGCAGATTTTGTGCCTGAATCTTTTTCGATGTTGGCCGACAAACTGGAAAAACAGTGGTGCAGAGAGAGAACTCATTGGCAACTCTCGTTATGAATAGCACACCTTTTTATTTATCCCTTAGTGCAGTCAGGGCTCACGGTTTCTGTATGGAGAAGGATGACAAGAAAGCACAACACAGACAGCCTCAAGCGCAGTTCACTCCTTATAAGTCTGGGGAGGTGCTTTCAGGCTGTCCTGAGATGCTTGACAAGCCAACTCCTCCATCCCTGAGCTGTTCGTTTTCAATGGGTGCTTATTGTTTTGTATCCATTTATTTACATTTATGTTATCAGATGGATTTAAATTTGTGCTACATTAAGATAGCAATGTAACAATCTACCACTTACAGTGAGGTTAAAAGAAAGGTGTTGAACAGAGCTACAGTTACAGCATGATGTTTAATTTAAGGAATGCATGTTATATAATTTTTTGCTAGCTGCAACTGGACCACACATTGACGTTTTCCTTTTTTTATACATATCATTCGCCGTTACATTTCACACAGTGTGTCATCCCTGCTGATGTGTATCAGCATGCCAAGGCACGATTTCTTCTTTTTCTCTATTCTTTTAGTTTATTTTGTTGCAATGGAACAGCAGCAGCAGGCTGCAGAGGGGTTTCGAACATAGCGAATGGTCACAGAAGTCAAAAACAAGGCAACGTCTTTCCAGACATGCATTTCTAAAAGGTCAAACGATGACTGAGGTTTTGTCGGTTCTCTGCTGGCTCAGAAAAAGCAATCCTTTCTTTTCAACATGCTAATAGATTGGTGAATCATGTTGCTGTTGAGCAAAACAAAGCGCTCGTTATGAATGTACAGCAGTAGAGGTGCTTGAGGGTTATTTGACGACTTTTCTTATGTCATTCCGGATTAGAGACAAGGATCACAGCTGAGCTGTATCCTGGGCAACTTTTAGTTGCAAACAGAGCAGCCTATAAAACAAGCGGCCAGATAAGTGTTTGGCTCTGTACTTGAGAGACTACGTGTCTTTTCTGTGTGTAGCTGGATCTCCAGAGACAACTGTGTTGTTTGTCTTATCAAAGCTACAATCTATCAGATGGTCTCTTTGCTTTCCTGTTGCCTTTTCATCTGCTCCATTTTTAGTAACAGTTTCCTTGCAAATCCTTAGGGGGTTCTAAAAGTTCGCTTTTGTATTTAACGTTGTGTTTTTGTTATTTTTGGTTGAAAAGGACATTTAGTGGGTCACTTGGTGAGGAAATTGTCTTGTTTTGTTTTCTGTCTTGAGAAGAAAAACTGGATTCCTATTGATGTTGTCCTCTTCTGGTGAATAGATCATATTTGTTGAGGTAAAATGCACTTTTTTCTCTGTTCAGAGAAATTTTAGTTTTTTTTGGGTTAATTCTCCTTTGATCTTCCATCTTAATGAGATGTAGATGTGAAAGACTAGGGTAGGGGTCATGTGTTGTGGCTTGATGGTGGGGGCAGTGTGATGGTGTAACTTGAGGTGGTGGGGCCCTTTTGGAGTCATGTGACTACCAGGCAACTTCTGTCGCTTCGGTAACCAGGAACTCCACACGCTCCTACCCTATCATGGCAGGAATGCTGGCTGACACTCGACCAAGGCTATTTCTGCTGTCTGTCGCTAGTGCTGGGTGTTCCTAATAGTTTGCTGAACGGGGATCCTCCATTCTTATTTTTATTGTAATATTGTTGCCCATCCTCTTTCTGAAGTCTTATTTTCCACCTTATTTTTTGAGCTGCTGCTGTTGTGTTTTTGCGGTGAGACGACTCTGGTCTGTGTGCAGTTCACTGTGGGGTAGGAAAGTTGTGGAAGAGCCTGGGAGTGGGTGGGGAAGGGAGAGAGGGAGGGAGGGGGAAGAAAAAAGGGGAGAAGTCATCTAGTCAGCCAGCCAGCCAGTCAAAGGAGAAGTGGGCGACACAAGAAGAGGAGGGAACCAACAGTAAGTCAGAGTTTTAACAGTAAGTGAAAGTGAACGGAAGCTGTGGGACATGAGGTGAAAATGGCTCAGCGTCTGCGTTTATACTTTGGATCTGGCCGCAGCAACACAGCTCCGGAGATGCTGGGAACGGACTCAGAAGAGCAGCGAGAAGAGGGTGAAGCGTCCAGAGCGCGCTACATGCAGCCTTCTCGTTTACCAACGCCTCCTCAGGAGTTGGGGGCTCAAAACATCTCATCAAGAACTTTTGGTTTGCGTTCGGATCCCTCGCTCAAAAGGAGCTCCTCCATGTTCATACCACAGCTCTCCACCTACCTTGAATCACGACCCACCAAAAGTTCGTCTGTGCAGATCTCCCTCCAGCGTTCCAATGGATCAATTAATAGACACTCTGGTGGCTTTGCTGAAGATGTCCCTCCGCCTTGCTATTCCCCACCTGGACCTGCGCCTGCATATCCTGAACCACAAACTCAGGAAGACTTTCCACGACAGCCGCCTCCCCCATACTACAGCTCAGATTCCCAATTATTGCTGAATGAACCAAATCTTCCCAAACGCAGAGTTTTTAGCATTGGTTCTAGTGGCTATGCTACACAGAGCGGAGGCCAACCTGGTGTTAATGTTGGTACCATTTGTATCCAGAGGAATTCTCCTGAGATTTTTGATGTCCAGCATTATCTTCTTCCTTATGGTCAAGATGGCCAGCAGCAGACTCTAGAGCCATGTGCTGGTTTTAATGGTGGAACACAGAGACTAGTTTTCCAGCTACAGCAAAACCAAAACCAGGATCAGACCCAAGATTGTCAGCAGACTGCTGCATCCCAGGGGGACTTTGGCCGAAGCATCCGCACAGTGCGTTATCCCAGAATCCGACTGCAGAGGAGCTCATCTCATCAGAGGCTGCTGCTGGAAAATAAACATCTGAAAAACGGGGCAGACTTCCAGACCATAGAGGAGAATCAGAATGATGTGGAACTGGAGGCAAAAGATGGATCAAAATGTTGTACTTTTAAAATCAGAGGGGACAACCCCAGAAGGCAACCTCATTTCAAGATATTCTTTACCCAGAGGGAAGGCAGAGATCAAGATGCGAGTCTTGGCAAGAAATTGGCAACAAATAATCCTGAGGTAAAAATTATTCAAGTTTAGTTAGACTCCAGCTGGCTTTTAAAACTTTTTTCCTTTCACTTATTAATTGTGTTAGATTGTAGAACTGAGGGGTCCAGAAACAGGGTGGTGTGACATTCAGGAAACTGAAAAGAACAGATGCAGTTACTAATCACACTCACTGTTTTCTTTTTCACTCCTTAGCCACAGACATTTGAAATTTTACTCACATCAGCCAGTTCAGCTACAAAAGAAAACAGGTTTGTGACTAACAGGGAGGGTTTTTTTCTGTTCACTTGTTGCCTCTTATGTCAGAAGAATCTAACACCCAGGTTTTGATAAAACCACCAATAGCAATTGGATCTCTTTTAAGTGTTGCCTGTTTCTATCTTTAGCCACCTCTAAGCTCTGGTGTTGAGTTTAAGAGCAGGCAGATGGTTTTTTTTTCTTCTCTGGCTCCAAGGTAGTGTGGATCTGTACATTTCCCCAAACCTCCAAATGATTGGAGGTTTTGGGAAAGCCAGTTCAAACATTGGATAATCAAATTTCAGTTTTTACTGAAATTTGGAAGCCGTTGTGTTCAAATGTATCACAATGCCAATTCCCCTAATTTCTGTAGTATGGGGTTTTGTAAAGTTTTTTTTTCTTTAACCAGTGATATTACCTTTGCAATAATTTAGCAAAAAGCTATATTTTAAGTATTTCATGTCAGATTATTCATCTCTGGAATGAGACAAGAAAACAGGAACCATGGAGGAGTGCTGGTCTTTTTCGTAATCCTCGTGTGCCAAGTCATATTTGCTGAAGGCAGAGAGTTTTATAAAGATTTGTTTATGTTCCACTCAGACTTTACAACAAAGAAATAAGGGTTATGACAGTAATAAACAATGTGACATCATCAGGAGGTAGTTTTGAGTTGTTCTAAATGAATTGTTCTGATGGGTGCTAAAAGGTCACATTTCATAGAAGTCAATTGGCCCAAGCAGGAGTACTGTACATGGTAGTTTGTCCTTTTTTGACCATTTTCCATATTTAATGAGAAACACTTAGCTACAAAGAGCTATAATCTGATACGCTGTGGTTTGGGTGTAATTTTGTTGTTGTTTACAGGTTAAATAAAACAGCTGGAAATGATCAAATAGCAGTATGTGGGCACATAGGAGGCATTTATTTGGCAAATGAGTGAATTAACCCAAAGCCACACTACAATAATAATTCTAGAGAGGATATTGTAGCTCACTGATTAAATTTACCATTTGATAAAAAATGGCCTTTGCCAATTACCCAAAATGTATAAAACAGCTGGATATATATATATATATATATATATATATATATATATATATATATATATATATATATATATATATATATATATATGAGTCCTAACACTGGTGTAATGACCTGCTGCTGCAGTATCCTGAAATTCAAATATTGCAATTGTTGCAACAACAAAAAAACAAAAAACTATAGCACAATAACAACAAGGATTTTTTCTGGATCTTCAACTGCATAGTTGGCCCTTTAGGAAAAAAAAAGTTGGTCAATGTATGACAGTAGTGTGTGCTTGTTTGTCTGTGTGTTTTCCACACTAACTAGCTGCAGACAGCTATGCCAGAGAGGCCTAGCCTTATTACAGATTTGCTTTGACGCCTGCGGAAACTTTTCACAAAGATCTTCTTATGATCAACTGCAAAGGCTATATTCACATGAAACAGGAGGGATGGAGGAGGGGAGTGTCTCATTTTAGTTTTGGTCTTTGGGCTGTTTAAGAGATTGGAGTCACTGTTGTTGTGAGGGGCTTTTATCTAACATCTGATCTCTCCAATGGGCATAGCTTTGTAATTCACTGAGGCTCTTGATTATGTTAGACAGACTTTTGACACCTCAGTGGCAGCCTGGACCCATTCCATTTTGCCTTGAGTCACAAAGTTGTCACCTTTTCTTTGATGCCATTGGGGCATTTTGGGGAGAAAAAAATTATTCTTGAGGCATGTACATACTATTGCTTATTGCTAATGACAAAGGGGAAACTTGGAATGACATGGAGTTCAGCACCAAACATAAAACCTCAAAATATCAGTAGAAACATGCAAAAAGAAAGTGGTTGGTTGTTACAAGAAACATTTTTCATTTATTATTGAGAGCTGTTTACATTTTTCACATACCATTTTTTAAATAAAATGTAAATGAAGGCAGTCTTTTAATTACTGACACTCCTTTTGTAACATTTTGATTATCATTTGAGAGACACCTGTTTCCTATCAAAAACAAACTTCTTAGTTGAATAAAAACAAAATCTATCAAAGGTGTTTGAATAATAATAATGGGCTGAATTTTAGGTGTAAAATGGCTTTACAAATTCATAAAGAGTTAGATTGACTCTGAGTAGGTTTCTCCTACAAGAAATCCATATCACATTGGTATCCTGAGAGTTTGTGGGATAGGTCAACACCTCAGACAATGTCTTTTATGAGGGATCATGTTGCACTGTGCAGTGATGTGACTAGTCTGAAAACATTTTGGGTAATTGGCAAAGGTCAAATTAACAACAATGCGAATGCTAGCATGCAGATTTTTTTCAACAGAACACTGAATAAAAATGAAAATGGTTTCTTCGTCCCCTGTTTTTCCTCCATCTCTGTCAATGTTTAACTGTTTTGAATTATGTGAAAGTTGTAAAGGAAGTAAGTTATTGGTCTTGGTGGTTTGGGAATTGAAAGCCAATCTTGATGTCATTTCAGATACCTTTCCAAGAATAGCTTACTGGGTGTGCCTGTGTTTTAAATGTGGGTGGATGGGTGTGCAGATTCTTTACGACGTGACAGTTTTTGATGGGACACAGTTGTACAAATTAAAGATTTCCAGTTTTATTAAATGTAGAGGGGGGCTGGCGAGCTCATCTCCCAAAGGTATCTCACCTTTTTCATGCTTACCATAAAAATAAAATGCTGAGCTCAAACCAGCATGAAATACTAGGTAAGTGTAGTTTTTACTCCCGACAAATGGAAAGTAATGGACCTATTATATTGATTTAATTTTATATTACTTTATTAAATGGTTTCTATTTAGTGTTGGATAAACCAGTTCAGATTTTGTGCATCTAAGCATTAAAGGTTTTACAGTAGAACTGATGGGCAGATAACCAGAAAAACTGCAGTGGTTGCTAACCACACTGTCGCATTGGAAATTAACTTGATTGCTGTGTTAGTTACATTTATTATTTGTGGAGGTGATAAATAAAATGTAACCCCTGTGTTAATATTTAATTCTCAAACGTCCAGAAAATCTTAAAAAGGACCACAGTTGGGGTTTATTTGAAAGTGTTTCCAGTTTTGTACACTTCAAATTAAATATTTTAGCACTAATTTGATTTGAAACCACTTTTATTGATGCAAAGGCATTGAAATACCTTAAATTTAACATTACAGCTTAAAGAACACATACACTTTCTGAAAAGAAAAAAAAATTGAACTTGTATAAGATGATTAATATTGTGATGTTGACTTCTTTCTTTCGTTTATCAGTCCCACAATCTATATACGTTTCAACCATCGCACTCACTTTAGTACACTATGGTTCAGTGCATTTTTTTTTTTCAGCCCCGTAAGCAAGCACTTTTGTAAGTCTGTGCAAATTGTCTATAAACAGTTGTGTCCCACACACAGGCTACTTCCAAGAATGGCCTTTTTCACCTCGGACAGGTAATCACTGCTCAATCACGGACAAACCTTTGGGCCTCTGCAAACTGAAACACAAAACCTTTCCTGAATCTGCCCTGTCGTCACACCTGTCCTTCTAACCCTGCGTCAGTTGACTTGGCTTCTACTTGGTGGCAGTGGATGTTGTTTTTTGTTTTTTTTCCTTGCTTAGGGTCAAAGGGTTTTGTTTTTACTTTGCTCCTCTGAGGTGGTTATTAAAAGCCTGTCCATAAATAAAAACTAAGTCTGATCCTTGTTGGACACCTGTAGTATTATGTAATGATTGGAAGAGATTGTGGGTTTTTGGTGAAGTTTACTTGAACATGCATTTCCAGAGATTAGATGGTTTAAAAGCTGCAGCTATACCACACTACTAGTTTTTGCTACATATATCACTCTTAGATTATATGTTATTTATAATCAAACTCCAATGATAGAAAAAAATATCCCATTACCATTTCTGGTTTGGCAAATCTATAAAAACTATTGTTTTATTTCTCAGATTTCTACAGGTGTTCATACATAAGGCTGAGGATTATTTCTGGATGGGGCTGCCCTTTATGAAAAAAAATCACTATGCCTTTCTCTCTGATTTACAAAAAAAAAAAAAATCAAACTGATGTTTTGGTGTAACAGGTAATTTCTCTCAACATTGTGGTTTTCCCCTCTTTATCCCTGCTGGACATTTTGGTTTTCCAAAAATGCTCTCATGGAACCCTCTCAAGTTTCTCTTCTTCATTTCTTCCCACCAGACAAGAGATGATTTCCTTGGGCAAGTCGATGTTCCCCTCAGTCATCTGCCGGTGAGTTATTTACGTGTTTGTGTGTATAAGTATGCACTGTTTTAACACTGTTCTGAAGACTCAGCTGTTTCTTATCACTCAGCTTTTGCTGTGCTTGATTAACCCCCATGAAGCTGTGTTTGTGTGTGAGAAAGTGCCTGGCCCAGCTTGTTGTTGTGAAACGGCAACTGTTCTAGGGATAGAAAGCTGGCATTGGACATGTGACTCTCGATGTGAAACGTCACAACACATGGAAAAACAAAACAAAACTTCACATGATTTCACCCCTGAGTGCTGGAAAGTTGCTCTTGAAAACAAATCAGTCGGCACTAAAGGACTAAATCACCTTCTGAAATTAGTGTCTTTTCCCCCTTTCTGGTGCAGCTCTGTCCCTGTTGAATCTTATTGTTAATGTTCTTGTTGACTTCCTGTTATGGGTGGAGATTTACACAGGGGGGTGCAATTTTTTAATGAAAGGCCATAGGTTGCTCTGGTGAGCACTGCACTCAGGCCAAATGAAGCTGAAAGCTGTGTTGTTTTTCCTTCGTCACCACCCGACATTTTAAAGATGGCAGCGCCAAAAGTCCCCTTCTAGGGCAGCCCTTTCTAATGCCAAGACATTCTTATTTCAACCCTGAATTGGATTCTTTTTCATTAATTCTTTGAAGAATTTTTTTCTTCATTTTTATGTGGAACACTTATTCTATTTACTCATTCGTAACTCATTAGGTAATTATGTTCAGAACTAGCCCTGCATTCACCCTGCTGGGAGAAAATTGAGACATTACAGTCCTCAAAGCTACCCATAATGCACTGCTGGATTTGCTTAGTTGCATGTGACTTGTGAAAATGTCGTTGCGATCTTATCAACTACAAAAGATGCACAGTATATAAACAATCTTTTTTTTTTTTTTTTTTTTTTTTACTGTTCAGTGTAAAATAGTGAAAATATTTTTAAAATAATGTCCAAAAATATAAAATTAATATATGCAGGTGATTTTTTAAGAGCACATTCATTGAAAGTTTATAGCTTATTGTCATTAAGAATGCCTTTTATTATGTCTGAATTAATTTATATGATTGGATTAAATTAACATTATTAGATAGGTTAAAGGGATTGGTTTGTCCTGTAAAGTACCTTGAAAGACACCTGAAGTGTTTCAGGGCTGTATGAAAAACTGATTTGAACTGAAGAAAACTAAATAAGTCTGTTGAAAAATTGCTCCTGTGATAATAAACTTGGACATTCATTGTAAGTAAATTAATGGAGCGCTACTACTCTTGTTTAGGAATGCTGTTGTAAAACTACATCTGGTAACATACAGAGTTGGAGTTGAGCAGTCAGGTGCTGGTTGGCTACCTAAGAACATAGTACATTATTAATCAACATGTATCCACTTGTTAGACTTGATAAACAGCAATTTATCTTACTATTCTGTGCAAGAAACATGCTTACTTGAAAACAAATAATGCATTTAGTAAGTATGTATAGCAGAGTTTTACTTAGGTTTGTGTATCAAAGTAAAAAAACAAACATTGCGGCTAAAGCACTGCTATAAATGCATTTCAATTCTCAAATGTAGGCATAATTTTTAATCTTTTTCTTAATGTCTGATGTGAAGTATGGTAATTATGCTTAAGCCTATGAGGCTGTCAGTCTCCTGCACCAGCCCATGCATAATGAAAACCAATAAGTTATGGTCCTTCTGCACATCTGGCAAGTGTGCTGCCAGCTTTGTTTGTTGCTCAGTTGAGTTTTGTCTTGGATGTCAAGCCCGAAAAGCCCATTAGTGGACATTGTTGGAATTAATTATTAATGTCCTGTCTGAGTCCCAGCGGGTGTGGAAATTGTTAGCAGATAAAAGCCACACCGGACTTCTTTTGAGATGTGAAGGAACAGAGTGTGTTGCTTCAGTTTAGCTAATATGGCATCTTAATTTGCCTGCTCAAGTGTGCGAGCATGACTCAGGAAGAATAATGCTACTACTAAGGTGTTTGCATTCACTTCACTTATGTATTACTTTACTGTAAGTTGTTAAAATGTGCCTCACTCATAGTTACGGGACTTCTGAAATCGTCATCTTTTCCTCTAGTAGTTTGTCACACGAGTTCTGTTATGTGTCATGATTGAAAGCTGACTCACGCATGACGGTTCAGCAGTGCCTCCATGTTTGCCTTCTGAAACGTGGAGCACGTCTTTACAGGTTGACAAACATTGCAGCATTAGATTTTGAGAAATAATACTTTTTGAAAGCTCCTTCAGTGTAATCTTGGACTATTTGTATTTATCTTATTGATCTAATGTTTGCAATGTGATTGCTTTAAAACATTGCTTTAAAGCAGGTTTTGACTTTGATAGCTTCCTTGTGTTTCTTGTTATAAATAGGCATTTAACTGTGTTGTTGAATACTCTTTCTAATTTAGTTGTACAAACTGACATTTTGTGTGTGTGGTGTCTAACTGTGAGCTTCCAGCATGGACTGGTTGTGTCCAGTCATGGAGTAGAGAGAAATCTGAGAACTACCTTTCTGTAGGACCTCAGTAGGAAACAGGAGAACCTCAGTGTTACATAATGGTGGTGGGATGGGTTCAGAATTGGTCATGGCCCCCTTTGAAAAGATTGTGACAATTTGTTTCTGTCTAACATTTTTATAATTGTATCCTCTTTTCAGACAGAGGATCCTGCTATGGAGCGCCCATATACGTTTAAAGACTTCCTGCTTCGACCAAGAAGGTTGGTTTTTACTGAAGTCGTGACTCAAATATTTTCTACAAATCCCAATGAATACAAACTAACATTTTAATGATTTTCAACCCTCATGGTTGTTCACCCAAATTGTATTAGACTACTGAAAGTGAAATAAAATCAGGCACTATGTAGAAACTGACCTACACTTTAAAGAGCTTGTGTTGTCTTTCCAGCCACAAGTCCAGGGTGAAGGGTTACTTGCGTCTGAAGATGGCCTATTTGCCCAAACAAGGAGGACAAGAGGAGGAGGCTGGAGAGATGAGGGAAGAGGCTGAGGTAAGGTTTCAGACAATATTGTTGTGAAATGTCTTTTTCGTTTTTTTTTTTTCAAAACGTCTGACTTTGCATTACCTAAGGCCTCTTCTTCTTCTCTACCAGACGGGATCTTAGTTTCATTCCTTCCTTTCAAACAATGACAACATCTCTCTGAGGTGAAAGATGAAAGTAAAGGTCTGTCTTTAGACCAATAGGAATGTCTACCAGTAGTAGAAGTCTTTTTTTTTTTTTTTTTTTGTTCTTTTTCCTGGGAATTTGGGAAACCTCTGGTTGCCAGAATCTATAAAGTCTTTTCCAGGTCGAGGTCTGGAAAATTCATTTAAAGTGTGGGCTGATATTTGGAGAAACAGAAGCTTTGTCTCTTGAACTTTAAATGTCTGTTCTTCTGTGTCCGCTAACACAGCGGAAAGTTTTTTTACTAGGGCTTGCAAAAGTATTCGCACTCTTGAACTGTTTCACATGTTGCCACTTTAAAAGCAGTGCATTTCAGTATGCTTTCATGTGACAGACCAACACTAAATTGTGCTTAATTTTGAAGTGGGAAAAAAAGGAAGAATGATGTTTGTTTTTTCTTTTTAAACATTGAAAATGTGTTGGAGGCTGCAAGAGACTTGTAACTGAGCATGAGCTCGGTGTCCTGCTGCTTTTAGATGGAGTCCTTCTGGCCTGATAAATCTGAAACAAACAATTAAATTTCATCCTCAACGTTCTATGAAGTTCTACAGGATTCTTGTACTTCCCTAATTGAATCAAGTACGTTGAAGCGCACATCCAAAAGTACAAAGTATTGACTCACTGGAGACAATACAATCACTCCCCATGCTTTTCAGATTTTTTGCTATCAGAAAGATTTTAGCTTTGCATTATTTTTCTGTTCTTTCACAAGAACGCTACTTTGTTGCTGTGTTGCATGAAACCTCAAACAGATGGATGCTCAATGGGTGGAAATACTTTTTCAGAGACTTTTTGGCTCATTTTTGTTGTAATTACCTCAGTTAGCCTAATGTTGAAGCACATATTTCTTTCTTCACATGTTTTTATGTGATTCTGTCTTCATCTTTAGTAGACAGTGTGTCCTGTTTCTAGGTGTGATCAGCTGCTTATCACCTTCAGATCCTTTAACGCATACAGAGAGCTTCTGTCAGTATGTTCGTCTGCTTTTCACATCATGTTGATCTAGCAGCTACTCTCATGCAAAGCAACTCAGAGTAGAGGATATGTTGATATAATTATTAGTCATACATCAATATGGAGTCCGTCTGCACAAATCTTCTTGATTTATGTTGCTTCTGTGATGCCAGACTTCAAGTGACTTCATAGGAAGTGTCTGTGTTTGTGTATTGCTATGAGGCGAGCACGCACACACACAGGTGGTTGATGTTTTGCCACTCAGCGGGGTCTCCGTGGTTTCCATCGTACTATGTGTTTGGAGTTTAGGTTGCTTGGAACTTCGGTTGAGGTCATACAAAGATCGGTTTCAATTACAGATTGCTACTTTTAGTGGAAAACCAGAAAATACCGAGCCCCATTCAGCCATATCACACAGTGCTTTACTGTGATGGAAAGTCCTTTCTGTCAGCATGAGTGGACATTTACAGTGCGGTCACAGATATGTTGTCAGCTACTTTCCGGACAAAATGCTGGAAAATTATTTTAAAGCACTGTAAAAGAGTTAGAAAAATGTAACCTGTCACAGTTATGATTTTTTTAATGTGCTTTAATCTGCCTTCTTCCTTAAATTCAATAAAGATTATGAGTTTTTTCTTTTTTTTCCAGTTTGTGAGTTTAAATTTCTTGCCCTGAATTTGATTTCAGGGTTGGGATGAGGCCGCAGATTCAGGCTCCCAGCGACCCCAGCAGCTGTTGCCTCCTTTGCCTTCAGGCTGGGAAGAAAAGGTGGACAACCTGGGACGCACCTACTACGTGAACCACAACAACCGCACCACCCAGTGGAAGCGGCCTTCAAACATGTACGTCTGGATCAGTTTTTTTGGACAAAGCTGGATAGAAACAAATGTGATGTTTTATTAAGGCTTTTTGCCTCTTATGGCAACTTGCTTTCCCCCTCTTTAATCCTGCCATAATTACTAATTGTATTAAGCCTTTTATATTTGCACATCTAACTAACATGTCGTGTTAATTTAAAGGGACGTTATCTCAGAAATCGAGAGTGACAATCAGCAGCGGCAAATAAATCAGGAGGCACATCGTGTTTTCCGTGCGCGGCGCCACATCAGCGAAGACCTAGAGAACGAGCGCATGGACTCCAGGGACATGGACAATGTGAGAGAGCAGGCTGAAGACGTACTGATAATACTCACACACACATCCACACGCACACAGCCACAGCTATCCAAAGTGACGAGGTCAGAAAAACATGCTTTTTCTTGTTTTCTTTTTTTTTTTCTCCCTCAGTCCTGGGAGCTCATCACTGAAGAGGATCCCAACGACAGCTTGGCCCAGTCTCTGCCCGCTCCCTCCTCCGTTTTGACCCCACAGCACTCGCCGACGCCTGCTGCTCAGGAGTTTTCTGAAGACCTAAATTTGAGGCTGTCAATCACCCCTGAAACGAATGGTGAACTGCCAGGGCCCAGCTCCTCTCTGGTAATCCGAATTTTGTTTTATCTTATTTATTTTTTTTATCTCAACCTAAATTATTGCTCAACGCTGACTGATGGTGTTTTGCTTTCCAACCAGATGAATTTGCTGCTGGTTACTTGTTCTTTTCCAGCTAACATTTTGCCTGTTGTCCTCCTTACTTTAAACAGAGCCAGCTGTCAAACAGACTCCGGTCTTCAAGTATGACAGATGGTGTCAGTGATCAGGCCCAGGCTCCTCCTCTAACGGTACATATATCTAAAGTCTTAGATTTCCTGCATCTTCTTCCTTTTGTTTCCCTTTGTCTCCTTGCTCCCTAAACTGGTCTCCCGATTAATATGTCTGATTCCTGTGGATGCGCCATCGGTTTATGCCGTTTCTATCCCTCTTTTATTTTAGCCTTCTTCATATGAGGGAGTTGTGACATATTCTCTCTTAAAATGTTGTCTCTTTCTACCTTACTGTAAGCTTTCTATTTTTATAGGTAACCACACCTCTTCCTATGCACTCATGACTGTATTTTTTGTGATTCATGTGCACCATGTTCGTTTGTGTGGTGGAGGTCTTAGTGGTGCAGCAGTGCACTAGAAGTGGGCAGCAGCAGTAATTCATCCTCTGAGTCACAACATCAGTGATGATTTGGTTTAACAAACTATCATGTGGTCTGAATCAGATGTTGGTCGCAAAGTTGAGTCACATAGTTTAGCTTTTGCTTTGTCAGACGAGTGAAAAGTACAAGTGCAGATTTCAGTTTTGCTCATAAATTAGGATGTTCTTTACATGCTGACTCGCAGTTATTGAAGAATCAGAGGAAATGTTTATTTTGGTGTTGAGAGCATTGGGTTATGTTGGAAGAACTAGTCATTCTTTGGAAAAAGTATACCTTTGAATAACTTGGGTTGAGATTTTTGGCTGTTTACGCTGTGGAGTGGTGCTTAACTTTCCAACCAAAATGCATTGACTTAAGTAATCCTCACTGCTTATTAATTGTATTCATAGATTTCATAGAATGTAGCTCCAAAAATGCTCCAGGAGTTGCATATCTTCACTCAAAGTTTTAGGTTAATTTCACTTTTTTATAATCTGAAATGATTATAAAGATTTTGTGCTTTAACAGTTTGTATCATAGGGTTTAATATGGCGTCAAAGAAGCTAATATGTAGATCTGGGGTTGTTGGTCCAAATCTCTCTTGAATCATTTAAAAGCATAAAATCATTTGTGGTGTCAAGCAGTCTGCTGAAGTTCTGGGAAAACCTGTCCTATAAGTGTAGGGTCACAGTCAGATGCATTTTCTGTTTTTTGAAATGATATCTTTATTATGCTTGCATTTCTTCTGATTTTTTTTTTTTTTTTTTTTTTTTTTTTACCAGACTTTTCTTTTAGTAATTCATTTTCTGATTACAGAAACTTTCTGTAATCTTTTTTAATGTCAGCACATAAAATCACTTCTCTGCTCTAATATCTTTAAAGACTTGTTTTTCCCTGATCAGTGTGACTTTTGTTTACTTTTCAGGCCTGATTAAAGAAACTGTATTGGCTCTGAATAAAATGCACTCCTCAGGGAAAATGTGCTCTTCCTTTTTAGATGAGAAATAAACCACAATTTTAAATAATTAGAAAAAATATATCCATTGTGTCAATTACCCCTTGCACTTTCAAAACCTCTGCACTTTGTCACCTTGGTCCATAATCAAATAAGTCTTTTTTTCTGCCAATCCTCACCTCTTTGAGAATCAATCCCCAACTCTTTGAGAATCAATCCCCTTCTTTGTCCACCCACTGTCCTTTACCCATGCCCAAGTTTTTCCCTCCTTCACTTTCCGTCTGCCTATGGAAGCAAATTGTGAACTAAAGACCATGTTCCCCTGTTGTCTACCACCAGCAGGGTCCACAGACCAGAAGAACAAGAGCTCAAACTGTGTCAGGTGGTGAAGAGCCCATGGTAATGCTTCAATTCATGTTCAGTTTAAAGCATCAGTCATACACCTCCTTATTTCCCCAAACCCAGTGCAAGATGGACTGTTTTTTCCTTTTGCAAGCAACCCATTAAAACTGAACTTCTGCTGAGTTAAAACATGACTTCTTAGCATTTATTGTTACACAATGCATAAAATAGTAATGCACACATTCTTCCTGAAAGGAGCAGAAGTTTATAAGCAAGTACTTCCTGGTGGAGGACTTCATCAAAGCCTTTTATCAAACTGAATAACTTCTTTCTTTGTTGGTTCCCCTATTGCGTTTTAGATAACAATTCTCTATTGTGTAAAGTGACATCAGTGTGTGTTATGGAATCAGAATGAAGGGAAAAATGTGCAACATGTTTCAGCTTTTTTTCTTTTCATGATTGGGTGCTTCTTTTGTTGACTTGTAACATAAAATCCCTAAAGGTTTCATTAAAGTTTGTGATTAAACGGAATCAAATGCCAAACATAATCAATGCATAGGATTTTTTTTTTCAGGAAAAGCAATACTTTTATTCTTTTAACACAACAGATTTGATCTTTGTTTGTGTTGATTCATCAGTTATTCCTTTTTCAATGTTTCTTACTTATTCAGGACAGGAATATCAAATGTGTTGTTATGACAAATTAAAAAAAAACTAACACATTTTGACTATTCAAAACATCACTCTCTATCAACTTTTTTTAACAATGAATTAATTAGCATTCCCTGCACATGCTTTTGGGTTTTTGGAGCTTCAGCTGATGAGCTGTTTTTGGTTTGCTCTGTCTCTCCACACTCGATCAGTCCCCCTCGGCAGCTTCCTACACCTTGACCACACCCGGCCTGCCCCCCGGATGGGAGGAGAGGAAGGACGCCAAGGGAAGAACTTATTACGTCAATCATAACAACCGCACCACTACTTGGACTAGGCCAATTGTGCAGGTACAGCAGGTCTGAGGGCTGGCTTTCGGGCCGGCTGTATGCATGGGACTGGATCGACTTGGTTCATGTTGTGGCGTTTGTCCCTTTGTCGTTCTCTGTACTTCTCTGTCGGCTGTCAAACACATGGGTGTAAACCTCAAGTCTCCTTTCCTGTCGTTCCTTTTGTCTGACTTCCTGTTTTGTTCCAATCTAATGTTTGTCTTCCTTCTCATGTCCAGCATTTTGCTGGACTGAAGTGCATCTCTGCATTGGTCGGTCCTAGCATGGATGTATAACTACTCTTTCCTCCCTTTCACCACCTCTGCTCTGTTTTTCTGTCTGAACACAGAGTGAAACTATTACTAAGGGACTTTTGCTGCTCATGTCTTTCTTTTTAATGTCAACTTTTAATACAAACTTTTTCCACAAAAAAAAAAACAAAGAAAAAACCCACAAAAAAAACCCAAAAGTGATCACCTGTCCCATATATGTTCATCACTGCATTGACTCTTCTTTTTGTGAAACTCATTTGTTTGCTGTTTTTATTCTGACAGAGAAGATGAAGCATTGTCTCCATTTTCTCAGTGGAAGTTTTGCTGTTTGTCTTTTTTTAGCAAGTCATAACTCATTCTTTCCTCTTGGCAAATGACTCTTGCTTTTTGAGATTTTCAGGAACTAATTTCCTGAGTGTAAAGTTGGCACCCCAGACTATCCCAGTGCAGACAGGCGTGTTTAACAAGATGCTCAATGATTCATTCGGTCAAGCAACATCCCTTGCTTTAATCCCAACCCCACTTAACCTCAGAAGTGCTGTTTTCACCAACAGCTGACTGAAGACGGAGCCAGCACCTCAGCAGCAGCAGTAGCATCAGGGCCTGCCTCAGCCCTGGTACCCGCTTCCACCCCTTCCTCCTCCTCTTCCAATGCTTCCAACCACCACCTCCATGAGCCCCAAGTCCGACGACCTCGTAGCCTCAGCTCTCCCACTGTCACCCTTTCCACCCCTTTGGAGGTGAGAATTAGAAACCTCTACTAACTTCTATCCTTGTTGTTCCCTCTTATCCTCTGTTTTTTTTATATTTCTCCACCACATATGGAGTCAAATATGTCAAATTTTAGAACCTCTTCTGTTTGTAGTTTGTACTACGTCCTTTGTTTGATTTGACAGGGCATAGTATTCTCCTGTAAGATGTTAACAGGTTGTTGCAGCCTTTTTGCTATTTTGCTGTCATCTCTCTGATTTAAAATCCTGACAATTGAGTCGTTTTGGTCTGTTCAGAAGAAAATCTGAGCCCAGTTATTGCAATATGAGTAGTGCTGTCATAAAGATAAATTGTCCCAGAAATTATTGTGAAAAATGATCAAGTTGTTTAAAGTCCATTTTTAAGTAATATAATGATATTGGCATAATAACACAACTTTGCCATTTCAAAGATTAATACACTGTAATTTTTTAAAGAACACAGCAGCAGCACTGGCAGACATTTTAAAAATAAAACTATATAAATAAATAACCAAAACAATAAAATAAAATAGTAATAAAAACCACACACAACCAAAGTCATAAATTAAATAGATTTGATGTTTCTTTAAGCACAGTGGGCCTTTAAAAACATTTATAATCAGAATTGAAATTATCAAGCTCATTTTAATTTACCATTTAAAATTAAAATTACATGATGATTTATTGCAACAGGCAGAAATATTTATCTGCATGTATTGGCAAACATAGCTTATATTTCAGGATTAGAAAAGCTCACCTCTTGGCATAAACTCAGAAGTGACCATAGTTATATTATTGACATGACGGAAGTGGAGGGGCACATTCCTGAATGTGATAAAAGGACTATGTGATCACACCACGAGAAAGTGATAGATCCCAACCATGAAGTTAACTATAAGTTAACTACAATCCGTTTTAAGCTGGTAGCTAGAACTAAACCTCTACTAAATAGACCAAGCAATTCCTCACACATCTACACATTCTTGGTACTACGAATTAATACGTGAATTTATAAATGTAGAGATCTAGTTGTGGAAAAGTAACTCTGACATCTAGAAATAAGACGTAAGACATCTGTAATAAAATACCAAATGCATTCATTTTTCAGAATGGCTGTTCTGAAAAAAACTCTTTGATTTTTTGATTAGTATTCACTGACATTATGCTGAAAGAGGAATTATTTTGTTGGGGTTTTATAGAGATGTTCCCAATAAACATGTGTTTTTATAAATTATGTTGCTGCTGATTCTTCACAAACTTGAGACAGGGATTATTGTTCATTGTTTTATTTTTTGTTTTTGGACATTTGAAATGGTTGATTGACCTTTTAATGTTTTACATGGTAATAAAAACCGTGAATGTTTAAAGTTATTTTGTCCTGGTAACCATAAATTCACAACATGCTCCTATGAGCATATTTTTTTAACTAGTTAAGTTTGTTAATAATCAGTCGGCTCTGATGGTTAACGTATGAACCACCAGATTCTTCAAGTAAACTATTTAAATTTCACCTTCACATTTTGACCTTTTTTAAGCAAATTTGGCGAGATTACTTTTTATTTTTAGATATACTGTTTCTTATTAGTGCAGCTGAAGGAAAGAAATGTTCCTGTAAGGAAGTTACTTTGAATATTATAAACTCATTATGCTTTGAGACCAGAAATGTTCGAGGAAACATGCATCGCTAATTAACATCAGCACACCTTTTTGCCCTCCACCACTGATAACAGTTTCACTCATTGCTGAAAATCATCTGCTGCCAACCAGGGAGCAGACCTGGAAAAAGTTTAATTAAACGTGTGGCTAATAATAAACTAGAGGAAATTTAAGGACATACAACACACTCTGAGATTGGTGTAATTACAACTTAAAGTACAGGTGATTTAATTCTTTTAACTTTTCTGTTCCTATTCTGCCAAAAAAAGAGATCAGTGACTCTGACTGCAGACACACAAGTAATTACTAATATTCAATAGCTATAACATGGATAGATATAATCTTAAGTGGTTTAAGGTGCTATATGTCATGTTTTTAATGTGTTCTCTGCTTTTTTTGTTTTTGTCTTTTAAATGTTAAGTCCACCTCTGTATTTTCTATAGAAATAACATATGATGGACTTCTATAAGTTTGCAGCATTGGTGACAACTGGACTTCTTTATGTATGATAGGACTAAAAAACACTGATATATTTATATGATGGAAAAAGTTCTCATTCACTTTTCAGGGCGTAAATGTGGTTATTTGAAAGTGTGTTTGCTTTTTAAGCAAAAGACAGTCTCTGTTCAAAATGTCCTCTTTGCTGCCTTAACACATTCCTTTGTTGTTGTCGTGTCAAAGTATTAGTCATCTAAATCCATTGTCAGCTTTATGTCTCCGTTTCTGCTTTTATCAGTTGAGTGACTGATTTACGTAACTTCCCCCCCCCCGTTTTTTTCCTTTTCTTTTTCTTTCCCCCAGGGCGCCAACAATATCCAGGTGCGGAGGGCGGTGAAAGACACCCTCTCCAATCCACAGTCTCCTCAGCTGTCTCCGTACAGCTCCCCAAAATCACAACACAAGACCCAGCAGAGCTTCTTGCCCCCGGGCTGGGAGATGAGGATAGCCCCTAATGGACGGCCTTTTTTCATCGACCACAACAGCAGGACCACCACCTGGGTGAGCCAACATGCTGCTGCTTTTGTATCTGGACATTTCTCTTCACATCTAAACTTTCAACAAAGATTAGCTTTGTTCACAGTGACATCTAGTGGTGTAAAAGGCAATTAAAATGTCTACTGCATGAGAATTAAGCTTTTCTTATTTATTTATTTCTGATTTTAGGTGTTTTGAATGTTTAATATTTTATTTGAAAAAAATTGATAGTGAGATATTAGTTTTATCAAAAATGTTTTGCTCTTCTCCTCAGGAGGACCCCAGGTTGAAATATCCCGTCCATATGAGGAATAAGAACTCAATGGAACCTGGTGAACTTGGTCCTCTTCCTGTAAGTCCTGCCACAGACTGATATGTTTTTGGTCTTTCTAAGTTACAGCATCCACTGCTTTCACTACCACCCTTGTTAAGTTGTGTAAAGTCTTGACTTAAAGTCTTTTTTTTTTAGAAGCATAATGCCAGACTGAACTTTTTATAGAAAAATCCAAATTTGAAACAGATTCTTTTTGTGTATGGAGATAAAACCAGTCCCATAGAAAGGCATAGTTTTCACAGACAAAATGTATACCATCCCCCATGCATTTACAGTTGTACAACTTCTTTTTGTCACTCAGTTATTTCCTAAAAGATTAGGGAAGAATTCAAACTCTTTAGGTCGTCCAGAGTCAACTCTCATACAGTCCTCTGTACAGCTTCTGCGCTATGTAAGAGATGCATACTAATGGTGCTTTGTGCCTCAACAAGGTTTCTAACAACATTGTAAGAGAATGAGTCCTGCAGAATAACAGAACCTACACTTCTCTTATACTGGACGAATATTAGTTTTTCACATATTCATCCTTTATTTTATGCCAAAGCTCAACATTAGTATCACCTGACTGAAGCATATTTCCAGTGACATTCCCATTAGTCTTGCAAAAACCATGTTTCCGATTTTGATGGTTCTTCTGGCATTTCCTCTGAACAACTGCTTTGTTATGAAAGATAACTAATTCATTCAATCACACTCACAATGTGGCACTTGGATTAAGACTTTGAGTGGCTAATATTTCAACAAAATTGCTATCTGTATTTGGTTCATTTTTCATTTATTATGAAGACTTGGTGAAAGCCAATTTCTATGAAAAGCTGTGGAAAAGTTAAGATGGGCCCTGGTTCTAATTTGTCACAGTTCCAGTTGTTTTAAAGGTTTTAGTAATGGCACGGACTGTAGAGGACAATGAAATAAATTCTTTTCATTGCGTCTCTTAGAGGTGCTGCTTACTTTGAAAATGGTGATTTTTTTTATAACAATAATAATTAGGAAAAATGTATTTCTCCAAATATAATACATTTAATTTCTTTTTGAGTGATATGAATGTATCTTAAGTACAATCTTAATGTACATCAGTACAAGTCTTTATAACTGTATAGGGTGTTGTATAAAACTTTTGTTACACTACATTTTTTTAAAAGTTGATTGAAAATCAATAACTTGGAATTTTCTAGAGATTTTTACTGTTTTATTTAGCCCATTGCCATGGTCTATGGATATCTACATGGTCAGAAACTTTGCAGTGCATACAAACCCAGCTGTGACCTGTCAAGGTTCTTTTGAGTATCCTGCGGTTCATGAATTGAATTGCTCTTTGTAAAACCTTAAAACCAGCTTGCTACCGTTCATTTGGGTTGATGGGTAAAGATTACTTACGGCTACTGATGTTAAGAAATGAAGAGTTGATAAGTTTGTATATCTCACAGGCTTTTTATGGTGTGTGTGTGTGTGTGTGTGTTTTCTTTCTATTTCCTTATTTTCTTCTTTCCATTCTGATGGATCTAATGTTTCTTCTGCACCTGGCCATATGTGTTTGGCAGAACCTACCAGAGGAGGTTGGTTGATGCCTTCCTTCCCTCTGCCTGCCTTCCTACCTGTCTGATCAATCGCCTGCAGACAGCCTTGCTGGATTTTTCTTTGTTTTTCCCTGGTTCTTTCTCTTCTTTTCTCTCTCATGGCTGGCATGGGTGGATTGTGCCTCTCCTATCCTTTCAGTATTTTTACCCCTACTTTGTCTTTTTCTGTCAGCGCCATCCCTGCACCACACACTCCACCTTTTTTCTTTCTTTCTTTTTCTTCTTTTAAACAATAAGTTTAGAGCTCCAAATTTAATCACTATCCTGGGATTTGCTCCATGTTTGTGACCCTGTATTGGCATCGGGGGCACAATTACACACGTCTTTAAAGAGGAAAAAGGCAAGATCCTTAAGGGGAAATACAAACAGAGGAGAGGAGCTGATTAGAGAAGGAAGGAAAGTGAAAAAAGGCAAGAACTTTTGAGAGCAGAAATAAAAATGTGTTTTTAAGAAACAGGCTGGTGTGCTGCATGTGTTAACGGCTTTTGTTTGGCCCCCACTCTTGTAGCAGCAGCATTATTAGGAAAAAGAAAAACATGCATCCCGTAGCAATACGCTAATCAACTGTGTTCCTTTCTCCTGTCATTGCTTTAAATCTACTCCAACTGTTTGACTGCCTGACCGCTGGTTGTCTTACGAGTGTGTCTGGGCCAGGACTCCGTACACCGAATGTTCACCGTGTCAGTGGTGCTACGCTGGCTTGTACCAGTTTTGATGAGTTACATTTATGTTGTGGTCAAACCCCTGCCCTGCCTTGCTGATGCGTCTGACTCAAATAGGGCAGGAAATCCTTTTATTTATCTTGCTGTGTGTCTGATTGAGCTTGCCTCACCTGTAGTGCTGTGACCTCAATGTTATGACCTTTTTGACCGTCTGGCCAGCTCAATTTGAACAACAATCAAGAAGGAAAAATAAATGGATGGATTAAAAGGACTATTTGAGCTTGTGTAATGATGTCGTAATAATCGCGTCACTCATCTTCCACCTCTCGTTTCTTTTCCAGCCCGGATGGGAGGAAAGAGTTCACACAGACGGACGTACTTTCTACATCGACCACAGTAAGATTATTATTTCTATTTTGTATTCTTATTTTTTTTATTCTTTTCCAAAATTGTTTTGTCTTTAGGTCATCAAATATACCCCAAGGTACATTTTGAACAAAATCTGAAAGAACTTATACTTAAATATCTAAAAAACACAATTCTCTTCCACTTTTGCCTCTGCAAAAATAAAGTCCATCTTTGTATAATTTCAGTTTAAATACAGTTGTTCTTTGAAGGTCTCAGGTATTTGTTAGAGAACATTATTAAGCAAACGGCATCATAAAAATCAAGGAGAAAGTTGATGCAGAAATGAGATAGAAACATCCATTGGCAGGAATCTGGTATGAGCGGCAAGAAGAAATCAGTCGTTGAGAAAAAGCCACAAACAGCAAATATTTGGGACATGAGAGCCAATTTGAGTTCCATTTCTAACTTCTTTCAGTTTTTCACTGAGAGAATTGCCTCACCGTGATCATAGTTGGGTCATGCTGAGTCGGTTCTCATAGCGAAACACTTCACTCTGTTATGAAAGGACGAGGGATTACGCTAAGTAACACAACATTTTTTGTCCTAAGTACGAAATGCTTTCTGAACACCTCTCCCTGAGCACACCAAACCCCTGATGGGCGGTGGTGCATCATGTTGTGGGAATACCTTTTAACTAAGGAGGTATAAATACTCCTGCAAGACATGGGAAGGAAGTCATGTGGGAGTTTTATTTGCTCTGTCTTAAGTCTGATCCAATATTTAAAAAAAAAAATATTTCTACCTATTTCACCCAGATACAAAGACCACTCAGTGGGAGGACCCCCGTTTACAGAGTCCGGCTATCACGGGACCTGTGAGTTACTTTGCGTCTTTCAAATCTTCTTGCTCATAGATCACAACAGTGTCCACTTATGATGGATTGCAGATTTGTCTGACACGTTATTTTCAGCCTCATCAGAGATGAATCGTTTTATCTGTAAGTCAGTTCTTAGACTTTTTTTGTTTTGGTTTTCTTTGCAGGCTGTTCCCTACTCCAGAGAGTTCAAGCAGAAATATGACTACTTCAGGAAGAAATTAAAGAAACCGGTAATAAGAGAGTCCTATCCTTGTGTCTTTGGTGTCTTGCAGAAGTTGAGTAGGATGGATATAAATTTAGTCCAAACCCAATAAACTTCTATTTGCTTAAGAAGCTCCTTTTATAGGAATAGACTGGCTTCCATTTCTAAGTTCTACCAAAGTTTTTAAAAGTTATGGTTCCTAATGACATACCAATACTATTATTTCAAAAAGCCGTCATTCTTTCTGTTGACTATTGGCTCTTTTGTGCTTTTCCAGGCGGATATTCCCAACCGCTTTGAGATGAAGCTGCACAGGAACAACATCTTTGAGGAGTCCTACCGTCGAATCATGTCCCTGAAGAGGCCTGATGTTCTAAAAGCCCGATTATGGATCGAGTTTGAATCGGAGAAAGGATTGGACTACGGCGGCGTGGCCAGAGAATGGTTCTTCCTCCTGTCTAAGGAGATGTTCAATCCCTACTACGGCCTGTTCGAGTACTCTGCCACGTAAGCCTCTTCTTGTTTGTGTTGACCAGTTCTATTACAGTGTAACAGTGTTGTGTAAAGCTGCAATAGCACCATATTGGGATTAAAAATAACCTCCTTTTCTTATGCGTTTGGGAGACGAGGTGTACTAATACACCCTGCTGTTCTTTCTTTCCCCCCATGAGACCTGTGAAGGCTTCCTTAGACTATGATTAACCTTTCCTCGTATTCAAAAAGCCATCCTGAAGCAAATGTTTCCCACAAACAAGATCATAAAAGTGCCATATGTTCTGTTCCTTTTCTTGGCACTATCACCATGCAATGACGCAGCTCAGCCGTTTTGTTCGCAAATGCTGTTGAATAACAAAGAGGCTGTAAAAACCAACTCTTCTTGGAAAACAAAAGTGTAATCAAACATTGAGACTTTAAATTTAGTGTTTTAGTTGCTTATCAAATCTTCTTTCATGCCTGAGTTTTAATATGAACTGAGAGCAAACAGAAATGAGTTTTTCTGTGAGCAATTGTTAGATAAACCCAATGCTTTGTCTCTTCTCCAGCCAATGAGAAGTTGATATAAAAATGTAGTTATGTCATCCTGTTTGCTTTTATTGATGTGATTTTAAGAACTTGTCTAAATATGTACTTTTTCCCTCTTGTCTTTGTCCAGTGACAATTACACGCTCCAAATCAATCCTAACTCTGGCCTCTGCAATGAGGATCATCTTTCCTATTTCAAGTTCATCGGGCGTGTGGCAGGAATGGCTGTGTTTCATGGAAAACTCCTGGATGGTAGTTATTTGATAACCTCTTCATGATCTAATTTTCCTATTCAGTTGTTTTTACTACTGACACTGAAGCAAGTTAAAATTAGAAAATGGCCTACACTATGTGCCAAATTGAAACCTTCCTAAAATGGTCACATTCAACAAAATAAAAATCACTGAAAAGTTTATAAGTTGCTGTAATTTAGTTCTCACATTTTATGAAACATATACAATCTGATGTCTTAAAGTCTTTTTTCTGTTAATTATAAGGACTTTCCACTTACACCTAATGAAATGAGGCATTTAAGGTTAGAATATTACATCAGAACATTTTTAAAAACACATTTTTGAAAAAGCAATATGGGCTCATTCAAAGGTAGACCTTTTTGTCTATACTGATTAACATACTTCTGGAAGAATCCTTCCACAAAAAGTTTATGCTGTTTGTTATATCTGCTAAGGGGAGTGAGCTAACATGATGTCACACCCTTTAGGTCCGTTTCATGTTGCGGGTGATTGATTGCTTTACTGTGTTTCAAATGTGGCTACAGAACATTATGTGGTGACAAGCTTGTCTCATAAACTTATAAAAGGGCTTGCAAAAATGAAAAACCTTTGCTCTGAACATCATAAACTTTCATGAGTAGTGTTTCAGCTACTTTCTGAAAAATAATGTGCATGACCTATGGTGAAAATTAAACATTTTCTTTTGTCTTTGCAGGTTTTTTCATACGTCCATTTTACAAGATGATGCTGGGGAAACAAATATCACTTAAGGACATGGAGTCTGTGGTAAGACATTTTCTAAAATCTGGATAATTAAGCAACTCTTCAATTCTGAGTAAAACTACTTAATTATGACACTGTAATTAAGTACAGAAATTAAGTGCTAAAGAAAAACTTCAATACTTTTTGTACACTTGAACACGGTAAAACCCAGATGATCAATATGTTTAAATACTGACAGGGGCGTACTTTGTTCTTATCATTACTATAAATTTGGCACAACTGATTTATTGCATTCAAAGAAAATATCATTTGTTATTTGAGCTAATAAATGAAATTCAGTTAAAAGCCCAACACGTATGTCTGTTTCCCCACAGGACAGTGAATACTATAACTCCCTAAAGTGGATTCTGGAAAATGATCCCACAGAACTTGACCTACGGTTTTGTATTGATGAGGACAACTTCGGACAGGTGAGCTGATTGATACCTGATTCCATTTTTATGTATTATTGTTCTGAATGCCATCCTTGTAGATACACAATCAGGGTTATTTTAGCTTTCATCTAGTTTTGTGTTATTCCTCAGACATACCAGGTTGACCTGAAGCCCAGCGGTTCAGACATGGTGGTCACCAATGAGAACAAGAAAGAATACATTGAGTGAGTTCTTCTTGTTTTCTTTTAAGTCTAGCTTTTAAAGCTAGTATCTCTATTGTTTCTTTTTTTTTTTTTTTTTTTTTTTTCTAACACGTTTTAATTATCTTCCCTCTGTCAGCTTGGTCATCCAGTGGAGGTTTGTCAACCGGGTCCAGAAGCAGATGAACGCTTTCCTGGAGGTATTTTTGTGTAGTGATTATTCAGTTCCACATGGAGGCAGTGTAGCTCTCTTTTTTTTTTTTGCATAGGACTTGGATATAAACTGTATTACTCATTTTGATTTGATTTTCTTACCTTTTTAAAATTAAAAGGTGTTTTGTTGTAACTGGTCTTGTTTAATTTTCAGGGATTCACTGAGCTCATTCCAATAGATTTGATCAAGATCTTTGACGAAAATGAACTAGAGGTACGGACATCTTAAAAACTTAACATTCGTGTTTTTTTATTTTGTTTTATTTTATGTTTGAGCAACACCCTGGTCATTGTCAGGAAGCTTTAGATGTAGTGTTTTATTGCCTTTAAATCTCTTTTCTCATTCTGTTCCTGTGAAGCTGCTCATGTGCGGCTTGGGCGACGTCGACGTTAACGACTGGAGACAACACACAGTTTACAAGAACGGCTACTGTCCCAACCATCCGGTGATCCAGTGGTTCTGGAAGGTTTGTTAGATTCACAAAGGTGGACAGAACATCCCATACTAAAAACAAAAAAATATATATATTTCCATAAAAAAATAGTTACTCATTTAAAAAAAAATTATTTTAATAATTTTATTTGAAATTCTAGATTTATTGAAAGATACAAGAACACAAAGATATTTGATGGAAACATTTTTTTAGTCATTTCCAGAAAACAAATCTGTTGATTCTGACTGGATTTAACTGAGCTATATCTTTATTGGAATATTTTTGGAGGTAGTTAGGCTACATTTACTATGCTTTGATTAGATTTTTAGCATTATACTCTGAGATGTGTGAGTTATACACTACCGGAATGCCACTGACCCAACAGCTATACTGAAAGCACAAAGGGCTTTTTATTTTCATATATCTTGCTAACATAACCAAGAGTTGCCGTGAAATATATATTTTCTTCAAATTTTGCTATTTTTTTGCATTTCTAATGCAAAAACAGAGAAGAGAATGAATTTCCCCTTAGAGAAATGGGTCCTTTGAGCTTTTATTTTACTTTCCTTTCAGGTGACTTGGAAAAAAAAAGATTTTCTGTTTGGGAGTTTAGTCATTGCTTTCCTGCTCAATTCTGACCTATGACTCTTTTAGTCATAAAAAGTTACTGAACATAAATGCTGAAAAGTCCTGTTTTGCCAAAAGAGTTATGATCACTTAGACCATCAGAAAAAAAAGACTAACTGGGATGATGGTCGCTAGTTTTTCTGAACCCACAGTGAATTGGCTCTATCTATGTCATTTTACTCTATTTTCCTATTCATATAAACATTTATCTGGCTTCCCTTGAACACTCTTTCACGCAGTCTCCCATTGTTTTTTGCAAAAAGGTCAGTACTGAGGATGAGTATGAAAATGAATCTGGTTCCACTCGTGTTCCTCTGTGTTCGACCTGCCAGATCAAAGTCTGTTTGGTAGAGCAGGCTTGTTTGCTCTGATGAAACATCCTGAAGTATTACATACCCCAGATATAATCTTAACAAAGTCGCACACATCAAACACTCTTCTCTTTGAATTTGTTCTGTTGCTTTTTGGTTTTTGTAAGGACACTTTGACATCATTTAATATCCTAGGCCTTGTGCATCAAAAACACTCCCTAGTCTTGACTTGAACTTCTGACTTTCAGTCACAAATAACAATCCGGAAAATTGTGAATTTAGTGAGTAAATTTACATACATCAATAAAAGTACGTGGTAAACAAAAAAAAATAAATAATCTGTAAAATGTCTGTCATTGAGAGAGTTTTTGTCTCCTCTCTCATTAGGTTGTCCTGTTGATGGACGCTGAGAAGAGAATTCGACTCCTCCAGTTTGTTACGGGAACATCGCGAGTGCCGATGAATGGCTTTGCTGAACTTTATGGTAATGTGTTCTCATAAGATAATTTCGTTTTTCATTTATTTGTTTCATTCAAAGGCTGTTTTGAAACTCCAGTAGCCATTTTGGACTTCTGAAATGACTGTCAGACGTTCCATTTGTAGCCTAACAATCCGACTTCTGTCACTGCAAAAGACATAAGTCATTTACTTACCAGTGCAAAATTCAGAAAATTAATTTTTGAAAAATGAAAGTTTTATAATGATAAATATTTGCCTAAAACTTTGTGGTCGAAAAAAATCTTAATGTCAAGTTTGGTTTACTTATTTTAATAAGGTTGTTCATTTTCTTTTGCTTTAGGCTCTAATGGCCCTCAGCTGTTTACAATTGAGCAGTGGGGAACACCAGATAAGCTACCAAGAGCTCATACTTGGTACGCCACCTCCGCAAATAACAAGTTGAAGAATTTTATTTTATTTATTTCTATTTTTACCGTAAATCTATCTCCCCCCATTTCTTCTTCTCAGTTTTAACCGCTTGGATCTGCCCAGCTACGAATCCTTCGAGGACCTGCGAGAGAAGCTCCTCATGGCGGTGGAGAACGCTCAAGGCTTCGAGGGAGTTGACTAAAGCGCCCCCTTCTGACTCTATCCAGCAACAACCAATAGCAAAGAAACGAAACCGAATCTCCAGGGATGTGAAGCCAGCTGCTTGTAGCAGTTTTTGTGCTAGCATGTTGTACTGTAACGCCTGACTGTGAGCCGCCTCCACTGCATTGTGGTTCAAAGACTGTACAGCAACTTGTCAAGCCAATATGCCTACGTGTTTCTATCTTTACAATGTAGGATGGGTCACTCCCTTTTTTTTTTTTTTGTAGATACTGAGGAGAGAAAAGGAAGCATTGCACTGCCTCAGTTCTGAGATGTCTTATCTGCGAGCATGATCGGTGGGGGAAAAAAAATCCAAAACGCAGCAGGATTCCCAGAGTCCAGCATTTCTTTCCTTCTTCCCCCATCCTGTGAATATCTTCAGTGCCGGAAAAGATGCATTTCAATAGCTCTACTATAGCTCTACTATTGTGTTTGAGCCCCTTTCGGTGGAGAGCTCTTTGCATGGCCTTAATCTGGCTCCCACATGCACTACTTCTCCTAAGAAGCTGCAAAGGCACTACGATCGTAGATCTTATTCAAATATTTAACCCAACACCAGGTTACCTTAGGAATGCTAGCCAGTCACATTTCAGGAAATCAGAGACACCCCTCCGTAGAGCCTTGTCTGGGACGTGATCAGATAGTGCTGCTGCAGCCTTTATAAACTAAACATTTCTTTTTTTAAAAGTCATTAATGAAGCTTGAATAAGAGTACATGACATAAGCCCCACTATAATTTCCCTTGTTTTTGTTTTTTTAATATATATATGCATAATTTTGTGATCACACAACATAATTTCTTTAATTAATCCTTTGTAACTGACAGGAAAATATGGTATGTATTTGTACTAATGAACAATGTTCCTTGCTATTTCAGAAACCGTTTTTGACATGACGTTTGAAGTTCAGGTCTGGTTCGTTCCGGGGGCGAAAAGAGTCCATATCATTTGTTATGGTGATAGCAAATGTGTTTGAAAAAAAACAAAAAAACAAAAACATTTTTACTGTAGTGCTTTAAAAGCAGCATGGAACTGTGCGTTGTGTTTGCTTTTGACTACGTAGTAACTTTGGAAATGTAACTGCTCTCGAGGTCATGAAGGGAAATGTCAAACTGTGGCAAGTTTCTGTGATTAACTTAATGCTCCTCATGTCTGTTGCTATTCATGATGCTGTAAAATTGTTTTCTCTTTTTTTTTTTTGTTTCTTTTGTTTGTTTTTTTTTGTTTTTTTTTTTCCCAGGGGAAGGAGTGCATTTTAAGTAATTCATGATATATAAATATGTATGTATTACATTTAACAGAAGTATTACTGATCAACACTAAAATGAAGCCGCGTGTGAGTGAATGTTGGTGTGAAAAGCTGTGATTATCGCTGAATACAAAGCAGCACGTTTCTTACAAAGACAAATGTTTCTCGTTTCTTTTTTTTCTTTTCTCTTCCTTGTTTCTGTTTTTTCTAACACAATTGAACCTAAAGGGCACTTTATAGATCACTCTGAGGTCATGTCGCCTGAATTATGTTTTTTTTTCTTCATTTACTTGAATGTGGTTCTTTCCTTTTCAGAGCACTTCCTAGTGCAATATAAATACTCTGTAAATTTGGACTGCTGCTACGTAGAAACAGAAGTGAACAAGACACTTCATTTTCTTAAGTTCATATCCTGTTTCGAGCTGTTTCTTGATATTTTTCTCTTGTACGTTTCTTACCCCAGTGATTTCAATTCTGACTTGTTTTTTTTTTTTTTAATCAGGATTTCTTTTTTTAATGGATGCTGAGAAATATAATTTTTGTTGATGATTCCACTACTTTCTGCAACCCTGTGGTTCATTTAACTTTAAATAAAAATGACACTTCTTATACAGTCTCATTTCATTAATTAATTGCAGTATCCTTTTTCTCGGACAAGAACTTTTAATTATTTCCGGATTTTTTTTATCACTCTTCATGCTTCTTTTTTGTCTACTCCCAAACCATGTTTGATGTGTTTGGGATCACTCTTCGGCTGTTAAAAAAAAAAAAAAATCTCTGCTCCAAAACCTTCAAGATCGCTGCTGCCTTCTGGGAATGGTTTAGTAACTGTTTAAACTTTAGTGGCCAGGCAAATAGAATTACTCCAAGAGTGCGTAAGACACTTCCAGAGCTACCTGGAGGCCTTGCGGTCGCTCTTTGCAATCTGCATGCACGTGCACCTGGTTCGGTGTGGTGAAGGGACCTCAGTTCATTCACACAGGCAATCTGAGAGTTATCAGCTCCAAGGACGAGCAAATAAAAGCCACCCGGCCTCTCTGGGGACATTTTATCAAGCACTCCTATACCCTCCAGCTGGTCACAAACAAATCAAGCGCCAACTTCTTCTTAGACCTGAATTATTTCAGCTTCTTAAAACAAAGCTAAAATACTTTTTGTGAAATGATAGCTTTCTTATAAATGGGCGAATGCTGTTTAATAGGCTGTGTCAAACACTGAAGCTCTTATTAGCTAATAATCTTAAAAATGATGATGTTTTTAATTTGCAACATCCCATAAGGTCAATTAAGCCATTTCTGAATAAAGATTTTATGGCCAGACAATCATTATGTCTGGAAGTAAGTTTGGGAGAGTCAAACCTAAGATTACTGCCAACTGTGAAGCATGGTGGTGGCAGCATCATGGTTTGGGCCTGTTTAGTTACCAGAGGTCACATGTATTTCATAGAGTATCAAAGTTACTTACTTAGAAATGATAAAAGTTACTTTTATTGTCACAGGATTTTAAATGTTCAGCTTAATGTTTAGTGAAAAGGCTGAATTGACAGTGCGGCTAAAATGTTTGTTGAAGTGGTTTGAGTTAGAAAAGGGTTTGTGAAACACTGACAGCTGGATATCTTATGGAGTTTCTATTTCTTCCTCCTCCATTTTAGTCAGATTTATGGATTGCACATCTAATAGTCGCCTGGTAAACAGATTCAGACCTTTGGATCTCTACAGCTCCGACACAGTTAGCTTGCAGCTCCGATTAACGCCGTCGTTGCTCAGCCAGGCAGTTTAGGTGGATCACCATGTTTTAATAGATTTAGAGTTTCTCCATTTTCAGATGATGGATTGAACAGTGCTTTGTTTTTTATATTGTAAACCTACTTTACCAAAACGTTCTCCCGTACCTGTCTGTTTTGCTCCTTGGCCTTCACCAGGCTTTTTGCTCACCAATATTCTGTGAATCCAGAGGATCTGGATTCATAATGTCGCTAAATTACACGTCACAACACCTGGTTCCAATATGTTTCATTTAAGGGGCCCAGAGAAAAGGGAGCTCAATACAAATTCACCCCACACCTTTCAGATTGCCATGAGGGATAAAATATGATAAATTTTACAGCTGTTTATCTGTTTCCTTTCACTTTACAGTGCTGTTTTGTGTTTGTTGCTCACATGTACATTTACAATAAACTACCTTAAAGTTTGTGGTTGTGACATGACAAAATGTGAATTAAACTGCAAAGCGTTGTCAGTAAAGCTTCTTCATGGGTTTCACTTCCTGTTATCAGGATTTAAACACCGACACATTCTGGCTTTAACATTTTCCCCTCATCCAGCAAACATATGTCTAATCCGATGCTCTGCCTGTTCGCCGCTTCATGGCTGCATGTTTCACAATGCATTTTCTCTTCTGTAAGAATCTTTACCAACACATTGCTTGTGTCAGTTTGTTCATTTCAGCGCATGGTGGAAACAGAGGCCCTGACCAGCGTAGCTTTTTGGTCAGGGCAAAATTCCTCCCGTCTCCCTCCTCCACCTTTCACCCCCTGCCTTTGGTCAGGGTCGATCAATACTTCCCCCGTAGCTTATCACTAATGTGCAACTGGCTGTTTGTCCAAACTCTGCTCTGTCTACATAAAGACTTGGATGGGACGGCTCTTAACCCAAATGCACAACGTAGTCACCCTTGTGAACTCAGCAGCACTACTGGGCTTAAATTTACAAAGATACAAGGAGCTCAGAGCAGAGGGCAGCTGGACGCCCAATGCAGCACATCAATGAATGTATCTATAGAAAGCATCGAAACAGAAGGTAGGTTCTTGCTTTAATAATGTGTTAAACTTACATATTTATTTGGATGTTAATTTAAAAAATTTAACAGGAGAATGTCACAAAAGATGAACGTTTGGCAAATTTGTTTGGATGTTATACTGGGTAAATTTTCGTGCCTGTGTGACATCTTTCTGGACCAACTCTTATTTAAAGTTTATATTTTCGGAAACCTTTTCCTCTTTGATCAGTCACATTCTCACACAGCTGCAGTCATCCCCACAATCAGTAACAAGACACTCGGTTGGACTTTGGACACTTTGGATAAGCCTGCTAAAAGTAGAAACGTGTTTCCTGTGTCACTCTGTGTTTTTCTTTTTTTTTTTGGTTTGTTTTTTTTTATCCCCGTTTCTTACAATTAGGACTGATACCTTTCTGCTTCTCTTCATTCACTCCACAAACTAAACTCCAGATTATCCTTTTGTTCTTCCAGGTCGCCATCCCCCTTCCTCCCCTCCAACAATCTCCATCTGCACACCTGCGGCAAAGTTTGTCCTCCAGAGCTGTGGAGTGTGACAATGGTGTTTGTTTCCTCTCTATCAAACGCCATTATCACACTAAATAGCTACAGTGCGGAAAGGACCTCAGTGCACCCGCTTCAAGTCGGGGTTTTTGCAGTTGATTTATTTTCTCCCTATATGTTTTGCGCTCTTCAGCGTCTGTACTTTCCATTCTTAATGTCGTGGCAGAGGATGAACATGTGTGGCCGTGTGTCAGAGGTGGTGACAGCAGGGGACATGTTGCACCGCCGCAGCAAAAGCAGGGATGGAAAAAGACATAAAATCTGTTGAAACATGATGTTGAGACCTTTGAAGCGACCCTAGTTCATCCCTATTTCTTTATGTATTTATTTTTATGTCATTATTATTATTGTTACTATTATCATCATCATCCTCATCATCATCATTATTATTATTATTATTTTGCATGTGAAACCACAGTTTGATGTTTTCTGTTCTTGATTAATTCCAAAATTTTTGACATACTACTGTATGTATAAGTTTTACTTGCTATTCTATTTGGCATTTTGTGATTCTGGATAAAATAATAAAGTGGATGCTCCAAGCTGTTCCTGAGAAATAAGAAATTTGAAAAATGTAAACAGATTGCACATGTACACAACCAGGTTGGTTTTTCAGAGAAACAACTAATGGCACATATGTTACTGAAAACAAGAAAAATGTTTTAAAATAGTTTACTATGCACTATTATTTGCATTAGAAAAATATGTGTGCACTTTTTATGTCCATTATGAACTGTAAAGATACTCAACACATTATGGTGACTTTATATCATCATGTCATTATCATCTTTTGTATCCCAAGCACTAATCATCTCCTAAAGCCAAATTGGACATTTTAAATTACTGAAATAATTGAAACACACATAAATCTTACTAAATCTATATATCCCATGAACTTTAATATGTACACAGAGGAAAAGTCCCAAGCTTTTCATCCAAGTAAGAAATCAATTTCAGCTTTACCACCAGACAATCCAAAGAAATTCAAAGCAACCACACATACTGTCTATTGGCATACATTTTTTGTTTTTTTAAAATGATTAAATCAAAGTTTGAGATCATAATTAAAAAAATAGAATAAACTATTTGTGAAGAAAATTATCCAACCAAGCACTCTAAGACATGACAGTTTATAGCTGATTAAGTATTACCTAAATATATCACAAGTTTTCACAGACTTGAACAATAAAAACTCTAGGATACAGGTAGAAATTGTCACAGAAATAAATACAACGCTTTTTCTCAATTGTTCAGATCAGACACCAGGTTCTGGCTGCATGAGGGTCTCTTATTTCAGAGTAAAATGTCTCCTTAGTGCTGCAGCATTCTGCAACAACCAACAAATTGATTTATATGCCGGAAACTCTGAAGTACAAAGTCCAAGTAGGAACAAAGATCGTTTGCTCAATGTTCTCCTGATGCTATGACTTGTTCTTCACTGTTGGCCCAAATGTCTTCTTTTTAGGGGCGGCAGAAGATGGGGGTTTGGGTTTTGGAGCAGCCGAGACCTTTTGGACTTAGGCTGGAGAGATTTGAGTCCCAGGATCTCACAATACTTGTTGCATTGATGCAGAGCTTTAAACTGGTCAATAAAGGAGGTTGCACAATTTCCTTTGAATCCCTTATACCTGTAAAGACATATCTTGTTGAGTCACCGGCATAGACTATTTTTAATGCTTATTTTAAGGGAAGGAAAAACTCACCCTTTCTTACAAGTTGCTATCCCCACATCAGTAAGCTTCATGCCCACTCCTGAGAAAAAATCACATGGATTTTAGCACTCACACATTATGATTTATTGCACAGTTTGTTGCAGTACTTGCTCCCCTGACCTTGCATGTCAGTAACCAGCAGATTGCCCTCTGTGTTATGGTAGACCCAGTGTTGGAAAGCGCAGCATTTCTGCCCTGCCTCCGAGTCCCGTCTCATCACGTTGATCTCTTTACCGTCCTTCACAGAATACTTGACAAAGTCTCCGATGAGCTCCTCTTCCAGTGTTGCGTAGGGATATCATTGGATGGACGGTGGATAAGGTAGATGGGAATGATCCTGGTGGAGGAAATTCAGCAGGGCAATGCTAGTCTGTACAGATAATGGATGCCGTGGAGAAGCTGCAGACTGGTAAACATGTCACTCACTCTGGGACGTCTCCGAAGGCTTCGACAGACTGAGCTGCTGATGTGTAAGCCTTAATGTACTCCCTCGCTGTGTTCTGGACCTGACACTCCTGCAGAATAAGCAACACTTTCTATAACATCTCCACCCACAAAGGCAGTCAAAGGTTTACAGAAAATATTACCTTTTGCCAAAAATGACATAATAAAAAGAAAAAAAAAAGCCATAAATAAATAAAGCAAATATACAATATATGAGTATAAAAATAACTGTTGATAGCAGAAAATACAAGTCAAAATAACAAAGATCTAATTTAATCAAGTAAGTTATTAATATTACGAAAATAACATCTACAAAATAAAATTAAAATGTTTTCTTGCACAAGTTTTTTCAGAAAATTATCTTATATTTTATTTAGCTGCCGACCTTGCACACTTTAAAAAAAAAAAAAAATTAAATACTTGTTTATTTCCATGTGTTTGAAAATGTTGGTAATAATTTATTTTTTACATAACTAGATATGCATTTGCTAATTTTTAATTTTAAGATTTTTCTTCAATTTGCTGAAAATATTATTATTCAAGATATTACAATAAAATAAGCCAATTTATTTTATTTGTCACACAGGGAGGAATGGCAACCTGAAAAAACTGTTTCAACTGTGACATGCAAAGTAGGAAGCATCGTGTTGTTTGAGGTTTTTGCTGCTGCAGAGGCTGATGCACTTTACAAAACAGATGATCATGAATAAAGAACTTGATGTAAAAATATTCAAGCAACATCTCAAGACATCATTCAGAAAGTTAAAAAAAAGGGTTTTCTAAATGGAAAATGACTTAAATCATTTACAGACTGGCTTAACAACAACAAAAATGAGAAAGGACAATATTTTTAATTTAGGAATATGAATCCTGTAATGTTTATAACTGCATAAAAATTACCTGCTTCTCTTCCTGAAGTAATATCACAATGATGTATTTTACATTCACAATAAAACCATTTGTCTTTTTCTTTACCTCTACAGCCAAATGGAAATTCTTCTGAAGCAGGTCGTCGTTGTTATTGGTCCCGTAGCTGATAGCGTTGTGCACCTTGAGCACGCAGGAGAGTCCCGGTACTAGCAGGGGATCTGACCCGCCTTCAGCTTCGTCCGGAAAGCCCGCCGATGCATGCCCTCGCCAAAGTGAACTTTTTCTGTGAGTATGCTGATGGGGTGGTTCTCTCCAAAGTACTGATCCGACAGGAAATCCTCTTTGAACAAGAGCCTCGAGCAGTGAGCATCCTCCTCTTCACTGCACAACTCTTCAGGCATAGCTGAGAGAAGAACATGCATACTTAGTACTGTCTTCCTTTCTTCTCATTCTTTATTTATTGCAAAAAATTAAATTGAACTGAATTATTCAAAGTAGCCTTTAATAAGTACTCACATGAAATTATCTTTGGGGATGCAGGTATCACAATCTCACTTAAAACTAAAACACAGCGAGAATAGAAAAAAGATGATCTTAATGTGCTTATTTTTCTTGGATCGCGCATTTTACAATCGTTTTTTTTTTTTTTTTTACCTTCATATGTGAGCACGTAGTCTAGGCAGACAGAGCCATGGGAGCAGCTGAGCTGGCACTCGTACTTGCCCAGATCTTTGTGGGAAGCATTGGTGATGATCACTGACACTCTGCTCTCATCTCCTGCACTTCAGAGACACACGCAATTTAGTAATGAAAAATGAAAAAAAGATTTCTAAACGTCACTGTGTTTGGATTTCATTGCCAGCTAAAAACATCCTATTCAGATGTTTTTTTTATTTCCTTCCAGCAGCCTTTCTACTATCCTATGAGCATGCTAATCCTTGCTTAGAGATCAGTTACTGTTTCTGAACCTGAGCCATTTGCACCACACTATCAAAGGGGTCAAAGAACATTTAAAGGAAATGTAACTCTATGCACTGGAATGGGGAGTGGCAAAGAAGCTGGAATAGATACAGTGCAGTGCATAAATATTTATTACCATTTGAACTTATTTTTTTCATACATTTTGTCCATTACAACCACAAACGTTGACATGTTTTATTGGGACACTGAGTGACAGACCAGAACAAAATTGCACATAATCGTGTAATGGAGTGACACATGGCTCAGACATGAATCTGAACCAAAAGGTTGTGCTAATTGTATTCACTCTACTCTGAGGGCCCCAAATAAAGTCCAGAGTGCTGTCAGAAGTCACCTAACTGGTGAAGAGAGTCTGTCTGTCTGAGAGAAAATGGCAGGCTTGCTTGGGAAGTAGTCATAGAAAACTATGGTAACTCTAGAGGAAAAACCATTTCCAGCTTGCAGAAAAGTCATTCATAAGACACAGGGTGCTATAGTGAAACATGGTGTTGGTAAAGTCATGCTATGGGAATGGTTTTCTTTAGAATGGACAGGGAAGCTGGTCTAAGTTTAGGTGAAGATGGATGAAGCTGTAGCCACAATTATGATTTATGTTATTGCACTGTCACGATTTGAATGGTCCAGAGACCTGAATCCAAAGAGACGCTCTGACAAAACCTTAAAGGGGCTGAGACTGACTGATATATAGTATCTTAAATTGTGTTATGCGGCAGTGTCTGCATGGTTTGGTAATTTAGCCATGTAAAATGACAGTAAATACCTTCTGTTAATCTGAGCCAGTGGTGCGCCGTCTCTGCTCCAGGTCACAGTGTAGTCTGAGTGCACTCCAGCAAACTGACACCAAAGACACATACTCTGAGGGTCTCCGCTCACCGACACTACCTGGATGGCCTCTACCACTTTCGGATCTGCACACATCACAACAAAATAAGGACGAAATAGAAGAGCCTGTCCCAGAAATAAACAGCTCCTGTTTGGCAGTGCTTGATGAGGGCCCTCACCTTCCTTTGGAGGGATCTTCTGTTTGACCACTTCGCCGTGTGCTTTCTTCTGAACAGCTGTGGTTTTTGGCTGAGTCTCTTCCCCTTTTGCTTTTAACGGAGTATCAGTCTTTGATAGCTTGGACTCCAAAGCACTGAGAATTTTGCCAAACTTATCCCCTGACACGCGTCTCTTTTTAATAACATCGTCATTCGTGATCTCTTGAAGATCAGAGAGATGGGGAGCTTCCAGAGACACAATATCTTCTGGCTGCTGGGTTTTTGCTTCGACAACAGACTGATTTTCATCCCACTGAACTTTTTCAGCTTTGATCCCCTCCAACATATCCACCTTTTCTTTTGCAGATTTTGGTTTTGCTCCATGCTCTACATCAACTGATGCCTCTGTTTCATGATTAGCCGATGCTTTGTGACCATGTTTCTTTTTCTTCTTGCCATGAGGCTTGCCCGTGCCCTTCTCAGTTCCCACACTGGTCTCCTTTACAAGTTTAGCCTCCTTGGCTTCGAGCCCACCCTCAATGTTCTCAATAACATGATTTTCCCCAGTTGCTAGGTGGCTTTCTTGCTGCTTCCAGGTCTGCTGCTGCGATGTACTCTCTTGTTTTTTGGCAGCCTGTGCTCCATGATGATGACCAGATGATTTGTCCTTTTTGGAGCGCGTTTTGCTGTCTGGGGGATTCTTTGAAGTTTTGTGAGGCATTTTCAGCTGAGTTTGCTCAAATTCAGCAGCTGTGAAGACAGGTTCTGAGACCCAGGGATGAATGGATCGTTTAAGTTTAAAGTGATGCATGCAACACAATCCTTCTCTGATATGAACAGATGATCTCCAGGAAAAACTGTGAACCTCGCTAGATCTGTGCTGAAATCCTTGATCTCATCAGCTGCAGAAAGGACAGGCCACACGGTGTCTTCAATTTGTAGCTCCTGTCGTTCATCGGGAGAGAGTTTCTCATCAGTATTTATTGTGTTCTGCTTTTTATAAATCGGCTCCTGGTGACCTTCCAGAAATTGTTTGTTGGTAATTCCACCCAGGGCCGGAGATGGTGTGCAGTCTCGCACATGACCGCAACAGATGCTGTCACTCAGGTAGGTTTTTGTGCAACTTTGGTCTCCTTCCGAGCTGCTGCTTGTCCGACAGTCGAGGGCAGAATTACCACTGAGGGGAGCTAAGCACATAATAAGCTCAGGACCACCTGACTCCACCTGGCTTGCTCCAAACGGGGCTAGAAAAGTGTTAAACGAGACATTTGTGGGTGTGTCCACCTCTGGTTCATGAGCGGAGAAGATACTGAGCTCTGTTCGACGCTTGTCTCCTTTTATCTGCTCCTCAGTCACAGACCCCTTGCACAGATCATCTTCAAAAACCTGATGATAAAATAGAAAAGAACAAGGACAAGACAAATCATTTCAGTTTTAAAAAATTCAACAAATCAATTTATTGGCATTTATTTGTCCATACAGTGCCTTGCTAAATGAGTAAAGTCTATTGAAATATTTTGTCATGTCACAAACTTCTTTATTGCTGTCTTGGTTTTATATAGGTCTTTTAGTAATAGGAATGGTATTGAAGAAAACATGCAGAAATGAAAAATCATTCATGCTCTTTACAAATAAAAAAATCTGAAAAGTGTGACAAGCATAAATATTCAGCCCTCTTCACTCCAGTGCGTCCAATTCCCTTCAGAAGTAACACAACTTTAATAATTTTAATCTGTGAATGGGCTTAAATGTGTCAAGAGCTTAAAGGTTTGCACAGAAACTTTAGCAGCATCATGAAGGCCAAGGAACAGAGCAAACAGGTCAGGGATAATGTTTTGGAGAGGTTTAAAGGGAGGTACAAACAACGAGTGGAAGTGTCAAGACATGGCTGTCCTCTTAAACTAACAGGCCACAGGAAGCAGATGATAACTCTGGAGGAGCTGCAGATATCTAAAGCTCAGTTGAGGGAATTGTTTTACAAAACGAGTTTTGGTAGTAGAGTTTACAGTCTTGTATGTTTTTACGGCTCTGCAGCCATCCACGTATAGTCAGGCATTTTTGTAGCCTATCTGCAAAACAATAGCAGAAGACTAATGCTGATTATGACCCTCAATATACCAGTGAACTGAGGTCATGATAATAATTTGCAGTGGGATGTTTTTCTGTAGATCGATGCATAGTACAGAGTAAATCTGGAAAATCTGTTAGAGGCTGGAAAAAAAAAACTTTGTACGAAGGGAGAGGTTCATTTTTCAGCAGGACAACTAAATATACAGTCAAAGCTACAGTGGAATGGTTCAGTCAAAGACCTAAATCCTATTGAGGATTCCAGACAAGACTTGGCTCAAGACAGCTAGACACAAATTCACCTACACTTTTCAGACATTTGTTTGTAAAATATATATATAAAAAAAACATATATAACATCAGTTTTGTAATTATGCAATGCTTTGTGTTGGTTTGCACATAAAATACCAGAAGGATACAATAAAGTTGTGGAAAAAATATTCCAAAGTTCAAGGGGTATCAGTACTTTGCTGCATGCAAAGTACTGATTATGAGCCATTCGCCTCATAATATTTCAAAAAAGTTCAGGTAAATAAAAACAAAACACAGCGACGGCTTCTTAAGTTGCCTGTTTCCAGAATGAGTTTCCTGGTAAACACTCACCTTTCTATAGAGCCACAAAGTGAAACTTTACAAAACCTCGTTTCTTCCAAGTGCCACCCGACACACAACTCATGCCCTCTGCTGTACTGCCATCACTCAGACTTGCTGTTTGCTCCGAGTGGATGAAAACCAGTCTTCTGCTCCCGAAGACCCCTGAGCCTCCTGATCTTGTGTTTTTTAACTGAGACGTGGTTCGAACGAGTGCGTTTAAGGGTGTAGGAGACAGCTGGAACTGGGCAGAGTCGTGTTTCAGTTCTCAGCTGTGCTCTCCTCTCACCCCTCTACCCTGACACACCGCAGATGCAGGCTATTATCAATGAACTGTCAGCTATTATTAGATGCCATTTCTATCTGTCTGAGGTCTTCTTTTCAGGCTCCTCTGATCCTGCAGTGCTCCTCGACTGTCGGGTTTTCAGATGGAAGCCAAAAGGGTTAATCCAAATAATGCAGGATAAAAGTCCAAATCCCAGGTGGCTTCAGCCTCGTGTGTGGAGGGTGTATGCGTGACAGACTGGCTGAAGGTATGGCAGCAATCACAAGGACATGAGCAGGAATGTCTCTTAACATTCTTGCTTTGTTTCCAAAATGTGCAACTAGTTTATTCATTGGCCAACAATGTAAAGCCATTCGCTGTTTGCTGTGGTGTAAAGGTTGAATCTTTCCAGCATCTCCAACACATTTTCACACAGGTCATCAATGCTCTGAATGTATGTAAGTGTGATCAACAGATACAGATCAAGCCGTACAGTTTTTCTTACCAAACTGAGCATAAATCTGTCTCAAATAATGCCACAAATTAAAAATATATCTTACCTCCTGGAGCACCAGGTCTCTGTTGGTGTTCAAATCCACATCTTCTGTTATTTTCAGCTCGATTGGATGGTTATCTTCACTAGAAAATAAATCTTGTTCAAAGGTCTTGGAATATCTGTCAAGCCAAGGGAGGTCCAAACAACCCAGAGACACAGTTCCAGCATTGAGTGTGACTTCAGTCATTCCAGCATCTGAATCTGCTCCCACAGAGAACGATCCAGCCGGAATGTTTTGCAGAGCGGAGCGCGGGGAGGATTCTGCCTCTCGTTCTCCTCTACATGTACACAGAGGTGCAACATGCTGGGAGACTCCTCTGTCATGAAGTTCAGGTCTTGAAGCGTCAAGGCACAAAGAAAGGTAGCTTTGTTCAGAAGGGATGAGACTCTCTGGGATATCTGGGGTTTTTAGTGGCTGATCTTGCACACCCATAGTTTGCTGCCTTTCCTCCGCCTCTGTAGCCCGTAAATCGTCTTGCAGCGTCTCTGGCTCGAAGTGAGTGCTCACCTCCTGCAGTGCTTGTGTCAAAGCATCAATCTCAGCCCCTATTTCTGCAAAGGCGGCCGTGATTTCTTCTGCCGGATCCTCAATAACCCCGGTCCAGTCTGAGAGCGCGCTGGCCCAGCTGTCCACTGATGACCACCTCTCCACTGGTGACCAGCCAACCCTCCTGTTGTCACCAGGACTGTAATCTGACTCTTGTAAGGAGTCACTTAAAGCTTGATGATCCACGTCCTCCTTGTCTCCCGCATCCTCACCTGTCAGATACTGGCACGCGTCCATCCAGAGCTCGGCGGGGCTGACACTGTGCTGCCTTTGCAGGGTCAAAGCTGTGACCTCTGCTTTCACAAATCTCACATCACTTTCCGACATCCAGTCCACCTCCCAGGCATCCACAGCAGGTGCTCGTAACTCATCAGATTGGCTTGCCTCTGACACATTGGTCTCTGAGACTTGTTCCTCTGTAAAGCTACTTTGACACTGTGTCTTAATGCCTTCTAAATAACACATCGGGACATGTGCATCACTGTCTTGGTCTGCCTTTCCGACACCCGACTGCAATGTTAACTGGTATTCAAGATGTGTGGTCTTATGACGATCTTTTGTGTTGGTAAGGATACAATCCCGCGTGTCACTTTCAAAAATATAAAGATCTGACAGAGGTGCTGGAACCTCAACAATGTCTAAATTCTGGGATTCAGGCAAACTAATTTTGTTCTTCAGGCAGTACACCAGAGATGTTTCTGGTTCTACATGCAGCTCTGTTGTACTGGATAGAGCTGGAATAGAGTCACTGCAAAGATCAGGCAAAGGAGGTACAGCTTCACTTTCTGGATCCGTACAATAAGGTGCAACGAAGGCAGACTTTTGTGAAGACTCTAAGCAAAGAGACATGCTGCAAGATGAATAGTTTAAACTATCACTGTCAGATCGTTTCTCATTGGTGGAAATGTTTATTGTGTCATTTTCATCTGGGATGGACAGCCCAGATAGCGTCTCTGGTTCATGCACCTGTACAATAGTTTGATTGTCTGTGAATGGTTCTGCAGACCACTCAGGGTCGTTTGTGCAAAGTTGTGAGGGGTCCATCAGGACTTGAGGATATTCACGTTCACTGACCCAAGCAGTCAAACTGGAACTGGGACCAGGCTCTGTGTCCAGGGATGAATCACTGATGTATCTTTCTGTTGGGACTATTTCCTATTTTGATTCTGGGATTCAGTGCCTGAAAAGAAACAAATACAATCATCGTTGGAACTCGTTGCCCAACTGTGAATAAACCACCTGAAAATGCCTTACAAATACATTCCATCTCCCTTTATCCGCTACTCAAAGGGTTGTGTTAATCTAATCTAAAGGCAATGCATTTATTCACATTTTAACTAATATCTATAGACATTTGAAACATTTGAATAAAATGGAAAAAAAGTGCCTTTCACAATAAAATATTTAAATACAAGTGGTGGGTGTGATGGGTGGTGGTTGGGCTTCTTCACAGCTGTCACAGGGTGAGAGGCTGTGTGAACCCTGTGCAGCACTAAACAAGCAGAGGAGGGTGTGGGGTCCGGGCAAGGGGGCCACGGGTGCCCCACCATCAGCAGCTTTAGAGATGATGGATTGTGATGATTGGTTTGAAATAAATGCCATGATTTATTTCTGTAGAGGAGTTAACCTACACAGAGTTGTTGGGAGATGAATGGAGATAAGATACAAAGCAAAGGTGAAGGAAAACTTATGAGAGGCTGCTATTGGTACTGTTCCAAATTATCAAACCATGCAGACAGAACAAGTTTTCTGTCTGCATGGCTGTTCATTTGTTAAAAGTCCAGTCAAAGTTCAGAACGTGGTTTTTTTTTTCACAGACTGCGCTTGATCCAACTACAAAGAAGATGGAGCAGTTTCAAGTCCCCTCAATCTATTATTATTATTATTATTTTTAATTATGCTATGCTTTGTGTTGGTGTCTCACCAAAATTTAAAATGTAAAATGACTAATAAAACTTTATCAAGTTTGTGAAAATCCTAAAAATGATCCTAAATAGGTCAAATATTCCTCCTTACTGTCATACATCGTGATGAACCCATTGGGATTTTTCATCTGACTTACTCTCTCCCTCTCTGGCATGCTGATGTCAGTGGTCCCACTGACTTGTTGCCAAACTAATTATGAAATGTCCCCCAGGCTTTTAACGCACCGAAAACTATTTCCCCTGTTTTCTTGGTGGTCAATGTAAAAACGAACAAGCACACAAAGAGTCCTTGAAGCTACAGGGGGTTTAAATGACTTGTCAATCTCATCATTTTGCTTTTAAATTACATTTTATGATGTGTGAAACTGTTTTTTTTTTTTTTCGGAAAGTGGGTCACATGTGAAACATCGGTGGGGGCAGTGGTTTCAAAACTTTCACTCTGACATATAAGATGGAAGCTGGCGGCAGAGTTACTGGAAAAATACCAGCTCATCTTCACTCCTGGCCTGCATTTGTCACATTTCAGCCTCATAAAGGACACCTGACTGAGTGCTGCAGCTTCAGATGTTTATATTGTGAAACACACACCTCAACAGCTGAGTACACACTGCAGATAAAAGAGCATTTCAGACTAAAATTAGAAAACATTTGGCCATCCTAATATTTGCAAACTTGTCCAAAATGCAAGACGCATCTCAAAAAATTAATATTTGCCACTTGTCATACTGACAGCAAAAAGGGATGAAAAATCTTCATGCTTAAGAATTTATACTTGCATAACAACAAGAATTTCTGTTGGATTTTTTTATATATATTTCGTTTAGATTAGACTGTCTGGAATGGTTGATTTTTTTTTTTTTACTTCAGGAAGAGCTTGATATATGCTGGCGAATTATAAAACTGTGAACTACTGAAAGCAGTTTAAAATTGTTCTTCTCTGTCTGATTCAGAACAGATCTCCCATTAAAGTGTGCGCTGGTTTCAGGATAAAAAAAAAAGTGAAAACCAAACAAGTTGATGCTATGAACTTCAAACAGCGTCTAAATTTGACAAATTACAAAACAGGAAAGACCGGTGGCATTATAATTCCAGTTTAATTGAGGAGATGAAAACTGATGCTCAATAAAATGTGAATCATGCAGCAGCAAGAGTGTTTGTTTCAGCCACAAAGCCACAATCAAACGATGAGCCACCCCATAGCTGAATCATAGCTGATAAAATTATTACAATTAAAACTCTTGTCTCAACTGCTGGGGGGATTTCCAGCCAAACAAATAGTACGTACCCTTTTCATGGCCGTGCCGTAGAGGATATAGACCTATGATGTAGGACTTCAGCGAGCGCTCAGGCAGAGCCGGTGATCTTGGGGTGTGGGGTTATTTTTAGATGTTGTCCCCCGCAAGTACACAGTCAGTTATCTGATATTGTGAACATGTGCTGATCCTGATAAGTACACTTCCAGACAGCTTCAGGGATGGCCTACTTTGGCTGATGAATTTTCTGATCAATTATAAACAGAGCCAGATGCAGTAATGGCTGCAGAGAGAGAGAGAGAGATCACGATTAATGTTTATCGTTGCTCATGTAGAGCCTTGCATGTACATGAATAATTATTGAGCCTATAATTTGTCATGTTTCAACAATAAATTGTGATGTATTTTAAGCTATAAAATGTGAAGTACAAATAAAGTGGTTATTCATTTTTAAGTTTTTTTTGCAAATAAAAGGAGGAATAGTGTGATGTGTACTTGCCTCTGTAAGTCAATACTTCTTTCATTGAAATTACAGCTACAAGTGTTTTTGCCTGTCATGCCCAGGTTTGCAGATGTAGACTGTAATTTTCTGCTGCCCCTTCTGATTAGATAAGACAGTGACCAGATACAACTAGAGATCTGTTCATGAGCCTTTAAAAAACTCTTCTGAAGGATCATTTGATCTTCATTAACAATCCCATTAAGATTGATGATTGTTCCTTCATTATTTAAGTCCCTTTCATTCTTATAATCAGAAGTAGTTCGTTTTCTGTCCTTATATTTATGTCAGTTCAGTTTATTGTTCATATTTCTACTCAGGAAATGCATGTTAATGAATGTGTCCGTTTGAATGACTCTGGATTTATACTTTGATTCAATTAGGAGCTCATTGTAATGTTACCCAAGCTTCAGGATAATAAATATTAAATCATTTATCCTTTATTAGAAAAGGTCAGACTATTAATAACGTCCTTTAATGAATGGTGAGCTATGCAAGGCTGATTAATTCATTACTTAAGCTGTTGTATAATTTAATATAGTACAGGATGAACCAGCCTTTCTGTTGTGAAACAATACTTTTATTGAAACGTCTTGTTTCTGAGCAGGAGGAGAAGAAGGGTGACACAAACTGCTAAAACTGTGTTGTGCTGTGTAACACTGTGTAACACTGATTTCCACACACCTGTTCTTGTTTTGCCCTGTAAATCTACCAGGCAACTATTGACATATTATTAGACTAAATTCACTTGTGAGGTAGTTGTGACTTTTTATTGACTCATAAGGGCGACGAATGTGACCTTTTTCCAAACAAAAATAGAACATTTGAATGGGAGCCTCGTATGATTTCACGCATCTTGAGCATGGACGTCGCGAGCTTCTGGAGTTGATGTGTCCTCGTGGTCTCATGTCGTCATTAAATGGAAAGGATCGTCTTACCACAGCAAGCTATATTTTCACACACACTGGCTTCATGCTGGCTTTTGAGCTGCTCTCCAACCCTCAGCCTGGAGTGAAGGAAACCACATTTTCTTTCGATGAAAATCAACTGAATGGAGAACCAATTGACAGAAGGTTTAACAGACAAAAGGCATTTGCTGAATTTTCTTTTGTCATCATTCTGGTTCCAATCATAACATGGGGCCTCTATAAACTCATCAGTATTTTATTTCAGGATGCTTGGTTCTTTATGATGGGAAAAAAAACAAACAAACTGATGATAAAAAAAATCCAAGCAGCAATAGCAGCCTCAGCTTTTCTTTGAGGTTGCTGACTGAGATTGTGTCAGCGCAATGCAATGCACAACAAAGCTCCTGCTCCACATACACTGTAACTGAGAAGGCTGTAAACGTGGCCATGTGTTTGATGTCACTGGCAACTAAAACTCTTTGTGATTCTCTCTTCATCTGAGTCCGGGTCTGGTAAATGGTCGTGAACTACTTATAGAAGAAATGCAGTGAAGTCATTTGTATACTTGGACACTTGAGGGACGTAAAAGAAATGGCCGACATGAGAAGTGAGTCAGACAGAAAAAGCAACCAAGTTAGTTAGGTGGTAGCGAAAGTACGGTCATTGTGACGCATTTATTTTAAAATGAATTCTACAAAACTGCAACAGGAAATCCTGTGAGGTTTGGGAGAAAAAAAGTGTAATCATTGCTGTTGGATAAACATTTTTGCGAGTTTATGAGCTTTACAAATTTCCGTCAATCTTTCCCAGAGTAAAAGCTCAAAAGAAAGGAGAAAACTCTGACAGACAACTATTATCATTATCTTGATATGCTAACAGCTCAAGTTGCAGGCAGTGGAGACGATATTTCACAGCAACATGTCCTGGATGACACCATTGGGTGTTGACAACTACAGCTAATCCACTTAATTTTTAACTCCTCTGGGATTTTTGGTTGGTGTTCAGGTATTATTTGAGCTTCTGAGATGCTAATCAGTTCCTCTCGGCCTTATTGCCGCGGTTACGCTTTACAGCAGCTGTCTCAAAGTAGAAAAAAAGGGACATTCAGTGAAGTTTTGTTTGGCTGCTGTGTAAATACAAGGATGAGCGCTTCTCTTAGACACACTTCAAAATGTGGAAAAACAAGGCAGATGTTTTGATCTCCATAAGAAATTAAGTAACAATAAAACATCTACTAATTACAACTTTTGCGTAATGATTTTACTATGGCGGCAATTTGCCAACTCCTGACAAGGGATACTAATATATGTATATGAGCGTCGCTGCGTGATATGAGGCAGATTCTCTAGATGCATTTGGGTTTCAGGAAGCGGTAGGGTTTCTCAACCAACACAGTGAGAGCGCAGCCGACTGCCAGAGTCAGGACCAGATGGCCGAGGAACAGGTACATCTGTAGAGGACAGACACCCATTAGCATGGAAATATGAGGACACTAGAAAGACAAGAATGTTTATTTGTTAAAAAAATGATGACGATGCAATGCTCACAAAGTTGATGTCTGTGTAGTGGATCGGCGTCTCTTGCATGCCATTGTAGAGGACGATGAAGACGGGATGTATCAGATAACAGGCAAAGCTAATGTTGGAAAGTGGAACCCAGAAAGAAAAGGACAAGAATGTCTGGATAAAACCTGGAGAAACAAATACACACAAAAACTGAGACGCCAGTTCTTCCCTTCCCTCTACACTGTGCACTTTAGACTGCAAAGTCTGGAGTTCAAAGATAAACATAACCTAATACTTGTGGCGAAGGTTTTGGTAAAAGCAACCAAAGAACAAAGAAGAAGAATGAAACGCGCATGCTTTTTTTAAAAATGAAATTAAGTGTTCTGCCAAACTGAAGATGTAATTGGATTTATTCAAACCTCCACAGCCCTCCTCACAGGCTAGTATGATCCAACTCACTGTCAGGGCCCAGACTGGTCTGTGCAACCCCTGATATAGAGCATGAGCCGCAGATGGATAAGGTGGGGTTTCTTTCAGGAAGTAGGCCAGTCCGATCAGCAAAACCATCAGAGAAAAACAGCAGAACCAACCAAGCGCTACTTGCCACTGAATAAAGAAATCAAGCACAAATATGCAAAGCTGGGTTTCAGTTTAAAGTTACATCAGCTGACGTGCAAAAACCCCCAAAAATAAGTCAAAATGAGTCAAATTTACTTCCACCAGTAAACAAGTAAACATGCAAAATACTTAAGCCGGTTCTACTTTATAAACGAAGTAAGAGTTCTGAAATTCTTCAAGAATGGAAAATCTAAATAACTCACCCTTCCCTTTAATAGTTGATCTTTCTTTCTTGTCAGGTATATTCCTGTTAGGATCCCTATGAGAAACGGTCCATATCTTGTGTACGGTTTCACATAATAATGCAAAACATAGCTGTCTGATGTTCTGCAAAGATAAAACTCTTCAACGTAAACATGTGGACGCTAAAAGAATTTATATTATTTACTGAACCTCTTTAGGTTAGCAGGTTTACATTGTGGATGGCTGAAAGACTGGAAGGTGGAGGTGTGCGGTTATAGCAGCACTGGCCACAGTAGTGCTCACCAAAAGGCCTCCTACCACAATAGCAAACACACTTCTTTTACTGAAACAGAAGGGACAGAATGGAAAAGGTTATTACTCTAGTTTATATGGTGTTTGAGAAGATGTTAAAGGATGTGGACATACAGTCTATAAATATAGACCAGCAGGGGGGTTGTGGCGAAACACTGGAAGTCCAGAGACAGGTACCAAGTCCAGGGAATACACTGAGGAGACATTGGGAGAGAGGCAAAAATGAGCTGAAATTCCTCCTGAAGACATAAGAAGCTGATGAAACTTACAATCTCATGGACTGGTAGGAGATTGCTAACCAGCAGTAAGTTAGTCCACCAGTAAGCCTTGCAGTCCATCAACATTTCAACAAATGGGAACCAGTAGGGTCCCTGCCGCACCAAAGAGATGATGCTGATGGTGAGACACACTGTAAACAGATGTAAAGGCTGAACCCTGGAGTGGGAAGATGAAGAGAGAAATGTTACCTTTCAGTCCTCAGATTTACTGTACAAAAACATTATACTTCCTTTCACCCATTAAATTTGCTGACATTTTCTTACAACTCCAAATTTATCGGCAGAATAAATATTGAACAATGCCTACAGGGTATGAATTATTTTGTGAAGCACTGCACTACAGGCATCCAGTCATGATATCATGCCTTTTAATCCTCTTGAAGAGATAGTTTGCGACCAGACCGAGACTTAAATTGCCTTCTGCCTTGTCGATTGAGCTCAGCAAAGACCTGGCACTGAGTAAACCTCTGAAAAGTAAAGTTAGAAGTTAGAAATCACATTATGTACCACAATAAGGTTAGCAGTATTTCAATGAAGTCTCACCCCAGCAGTAAGAAGGTGTCAACAGCGAGAAAAACAGGCCCGCTTATGGTGAGCACATATACTGGGCTGCTTTCAACTGCTTTCCTCCATGTTTTGTAATTATCTACAATAGAGACACAACAATGTGAATCCAATATTTGGAAGATGTTACAGCCTGTTTTCTTTCTTACCTAGGTTGTTAATAACTGGGAACTGTGCAGAATGGCCACATATAATCCACAGCAAACTGAGGACACGGATGCCGTTCAGAGAGGTGTAATTTTCACATCGGGAAGAGGAGGCGGTGCTGAGGACTTCCTTGCTTGTTGTCTGCAAGGAGAGTGCTTGAAAGCAGCTGGAAACGCAGCTTCGAGAAAGACACTGTCCAGCAGGTCCAATTCTGCCTGTAAAATTAAACATCTGAGTACTTGTCTATTAGGAGGAGGGCAAATAAACATTCTCCTTACCATTTTCCTCTAATGTGGCCCCATTCATTTCTTTGTCATTGGTTTTCAGGGTGCCATAAAAGTTTAAATGGGAAAACTCTATTGTGGGATTGACCATGCTGCTCTGCTCTAATCTTCTTAAGGCTGTGAACAGGGTGGCCACAAGAGGAATGGCTAACATTACGCAACACACACACCTGTGGAGGGAAAAATAACCAAGTTTAACTCAACCATCGGCATCGAAGAACCAGCATGCAGAGTGATGGGAGTAATATCAGGGGATGACTAATACACTGACATGCAGGCAATGTCTGATGCATCAAGAGCAACTGCGTCAGCCATACAGTGAGTCATAATCAGCTCCCAAGAAGACTGATTGGTCAGGATTGGAGGTAATGGACTAAGGAGGGACTTCTGGTTAAGCTGAAGTCTGTCTATTGGAAAAATAGGCCCAAGTGAGGAAAATGTGAAAATAACCCTAAAGCAGAGAAAGACAAATATGCAGAGAATCTGTCTTATTAAACACTCACCACACTGCACCAGTTGCTTCACATCGTCTTCCCCACATGAGTCAGGAACACAAATACCCACAAAATACTGTGTTGCTCCCTGCAATAGCAGGGAAAAATATTTACAGTTTTTCTCTATAACTTTCTATCCATCCATCATAAAGGTTTTTATTGGGAATCACCTGCTTCAGGAACACCTGGCAGTACTGAGCAGAGAAGCTGGGGCCGATGGCCGAGCGACACTGCTGCGGCGAACCAGGCTGGTTCACGTTACCTTCTTTAACACTGCTGCCCATCTTTCCAAAGGAGTCATACACTTTTGAAAATAGGAGAGAAACATTGCCCCTTACGTTTTCCATAGGAATGACAATTCCTTTTTAGTGAGACATTCATCTGCTTTGATATGGATCATAATTAACAGAAATAAAGGCAAAAAAGATTAATTTGATGTCTTCGGCAAACATTTTTCCTTAAGCTTTTCAGTCATGAATTTATTTACACTCACTGCCATTTAAATATTAGGAAGAGTGAAATATTTATTGCACTTGTCTTTTATCGTTATATTTTTTTAACCCTCTCCAGGCAGATGTTGCAGATTTGCAACAGCTCAGTGCTACTTAGCTAATCTTTGCAAGTAATTTGAGCCTAAGAGGGTTAAATGACCACAAACACAACATTGCATTTGTAAGAATTAAATCTAAATATGTGCCAGCTCATTTTCAAACAAACCTGGGGCTCTGTTGATAAAGAAAAAAATATATCCAGTCTGCCAAACTACAAGAAAAATATTCAAAAGGTGTGAGCACTTACTGAGAGCAGCATATTCCTCTGGCTTGTCCTGGTTTAATTCCCAAAGGAACGTGTTGATATCCTTCATACATCTTTGCAGTATACTGTAGTTGAGTGAGTTTCCAAGTGTAAAACTGTCGCTCACTAACAGAAGAAACACAAGCCAGCCAAGGGCCATTTCAGTGCCAACTCGACCTCTTCCGTCCATGAGGTGCTTAAATAACAGAAAGGGTCACCTCATCAAACAGAGAGGAGCATGAAATTGATCTTCTTGTGGAGAAATGGAAAACTGCTTTGGAAACTGGTGCAGGGGGGATTTTCTGCATCAGGTGTGAAGAGCATTTAGTTACTTGAAAAACAGAAGAATCAGAGCTGAACACGTCACTGCACAGCACGACAGTAATTAATGTGGAATCGCACGCATGGTCTGCTTCCTGAACAAGCATCAGGCGAATTTAATTCCATCAACCAAACCAAATTTGGATTTCAGTAGAGCACATTTTGAATTTGCTGTTGAAGGTTCAGGTGTTTTGCTGCGTTGTACCTGAGAGCATCACTGACACAAAGCAAACTACATTATCCCTGATAGAACTTCAGAGACACTAGAAAGATGCCTGCATTTATTTCAAACAGTACCTTAATGACAATAAATATTCTACACCCATAATAAAATCTGTGCAAACTGCCCACTAGAGGGAGACATTGTCTCACCAAGCAACCGAAAGAGAGCAAGAGCTTTATCTGGAAACAGTGCAGCAGAGGCAAGAAGAAACGTTATAACACAGACTTTCATTAAAGCTAGACATTATTAATATTTACTGAATTTAGTTAATTACAAATTTACAAATACTGAAAGACAAATTATGTGTAGTGTTGCATGAAAAAAGTCAGTCAAGAATGAAATGCATACAAAAAATATTGACCAATGAAAATGTGAAAGCGACAGTGACGTAAAGGATTACTGGCAAAGAAAAGAATCGATTTTATTCCACTTTAAATGTGTACAGTGGCATCAATACTTTTCAGTACCCTTTTGTAAAAATGTTTTAAAAAGTTTGCTTGTATGTATTTCTTTTTGTCTTAATATCACACTCCACAATTTAGAAAAATCTGACTAAGTCTGACCACATCTTGAGAGGGGAAATTATTGTGGCCAAAGGTTAGGTAAATGGCAAAACACACTGTAAACAGGTGCTATGACAAGCCATTAGCATCAATAAGACTTTTTTTAACGCCTTGCTGTAAACTGTAAATCACAGAATTTTTTTGTGCCATAGTGTTGTAAACTTTAATGAACAAATGATAGTGCTCTGCATTAGATTTTAGGGCATTTTCACCCAATAAGTACATTGCAAGGGCAGACACAACCAGAAAGATCACTGACCTTTTGGAAAAGACTGAAAATTGTTGAAAGTACCTGCCATTCTGCTGCTGTTTTAATCATATCCAGTTTCACAGGAAAGTTTGGTATGGTATTTAATTCGCTATGTTATTTTCTGATAGTAAAACATCAGCAAACAATGCGCTTCCGTAGAAAAAAAAAGGACAGACATTACGTTATTTACAGATCGCGAAGAGGCATGTTGATCTCCTGAGGCCGCACTGCCACTCATGCAAAAACACAAACATTACAAGGTAAAATCAGCACTTGCATAAAAAAGAGATGTTTCTTTGGCAAAAGAAATTATATAAATAATAGCAAAGCTTGTTTTTAAGTGTGAAGTCCTAATAATGCAACAAAAAATAGCTTGCTTATTTTTAGACTTTCTACACATCTTCACTGCATCGTGGTGTGGAAGGCATTGTTGGTTTTAATGCAAATAATGACGAGTGAATTCCTAATATGTTTTTCACGGAACAGCTGATGTTTAATATGCGTGTAGGATTGGGTCAGTTCTGGCATTTTTCTCTGTTTATTGACGAAACAATAATTTTGCACACCAGCATCAGAACTTTTTAAAAAAATGGCAGAAGCAGCAGTAAGACACATAATTATTACACAATTCACAGACTGCTTCTCACATGCAGCTATACAGTGCAAAATATTAAGATCCTTATCAAACTGTGGATGAAGTTATGTATGTCAAAAACTAAGAAAGACACTTCAAGATTTTATTTTATTCTTGTTAAAAGGGACTAGTTTTCATTTGAAGCCAATTTTCATGGTTGCTTTTGAACGGCCAGCATGTTAATTGAAGTAAATGGCAATTACAGTGTAATCAATTTGGTGAATCAGAGAGGCTCTCATGAAGTGGGGGCTATTTCATCATCTTATGTATGAAACATGGACTGGTCTAAACATGGTGCCTAGAGATTCAATGGTGGTGTAACAGTCTGGGTCAGCTTTGTTGCTTCTAAACATAGCCGTCCTGCCACAAAGAAACACACCATCATTTCATTTGAAGAAAATTTTAACAAAATTGGCTTCAAATGAAAACTAGTCCCTTTTAACAAGAATAAAATAAAATCTTGACGTGTCTTCTTAGTTTTTGACATACATAACTTCAACTCTAAGTGGTTCATTAAGTTAGTTGTTCATTCGATAATAAAATGTGGTTGACAATATAAAACGTCTGTGATTAAAAAACAAACACAAGAAAAACTGAAGAAACTTAGAGGTGAACATTTTTTTTCCACAGTGTTGTAACTGTCTCAGGCTAAAGTGACAAAACCTTGACAGAATTGTGAAATTATTTGGGAGTTTCTAAAGCTGGTCCTGTTTTGTATATGTAGCTTGATATCAATTTGAAACTGTATTCCTCGTTTTTCAAACTTAGCAAGCCCTGACTGCTGACTCCTACTGATGACATTCGTTCAAAAAACACTTGACTGGTGATTTAGACGGCAGGTCAACCCACAGCTAGTCAACCCTGGCTGCTCCTCTTCTTAGCCATGAAGTGAGACAATGACAGTGCTTTGACTTGTGTAAAGGTTAGCCAGTTGTGCACTCTATTAGACCAGGCAGTGCCATTTGATGCTTATCAGTTTGGGTCAATTTTACACATTGCACTGGTTGTGTTACAGTGAATTATAGCCAAACAGAAACCTGGAAGCTGTGGTATTTGACATTTACACTTAAGATGAACCAGGAACCAGGATGCCTTTGTCTGAAAAAGAAAAAGAAAAAAAAAACTTCCAGGCATCCTGGTTCCTGGTTCATCTTATGCCTCCAATATGTTTTACTCTTGAGAATGGAAGATGTCTGAAACATCTTTTATGTCCAATGATCATTATTGACCCTATCAATTTAACTATTAACCTGGATTTAATTATGTAAGCTTATGATATTGTTTTGATAAGCCATTACAACCAGAGGCAGTTTAAAGACAGGCTCGACTTTGTGACCTGTTCCATGAAAGAGGCTGCTGACAAAAAAAAGAGCCTCACTGTTCCTTTTAAAAAGTAATTAAAACACTATTGAGATCATATTTTATTAACTAGTCATGTTCTATGAATATTTCAGCTTCACTGCCAAGGTTACATTCATTTTCAGCAAGATTCAAGGCAGAGCACATTCATCATAATTCCAACATCGACCTACAATCTAAAATATAGAAAAGTTATAAAGGAAAAAAAAATCTATCTAAGAACCAGATAAACATTGCTATGGATATGTCAGTCTTATTTCCACTGTGCTCTAAGACAAATTAACACTAACAATCTGGAAAGACTGAAAGTCTTAATATCTTATGTTTTAAGTATTTTGGAAAAAATATATTTATCTCAGAGAGCTGCCATGACAAGAACACATTTCACAATTGTTCTTGAATTTGGGTGAGGACTATTAGGCAAAAACATATTATTATGTGAGACACTCAGTAACTTTTATTTGACCTTTATTCATTTAAGTTTTGAAATCATTGTTCATATTTCTATTCATCAGACTTTTTTTTTTTACATTGGTTGGATGCAGTTAGTTTTTAATAGGCCAGAAATCTTCTGAAAGCTCAAAGTGCCTCTGGATTAAATTGTTTTGGCATCTAGCATTTTAGGCAAATTATAGATGCACAGCTGCATTTTCTTATCACGACAATAAGAAAAAAGTAGTTAATTTGTTGTAATTGCAGTTTCAGAGTATATTCTGAAATTTAGGTCCTCAACAAAGAAAATACCTGTACCTGTAGTTATATATTTTTTTTCTGCCAGACTTTCGTTGAATATCAGAGGCACAAAAAAACTCGACTGCTGATCAAGTGCAGATTATAATAGTGGTTTTATACATTGTCTTGTCGTAGTGAAAAGAATACTTTGGAAATAATCAGGTCATCTTAGAAAATTTACTCAAAGTCTACTGAAAATTCTCTGTCTGTACAAAAACGTTCCTGATATTTTTGCTGAAAGACACAAATGGAGACTTTGATGTGTATTAAATTTTCTTGCGTGTATATTCTACTGTTTACATTAAGTTGTACACTACAACATCATGTATTTACAGGATAACCACATCTATAGGAGGTACCACAAGTTTAAGAAACTCATGGAATGGTTATAATTCATCTTTCTCTCACTTTTGAGCAGCGCTCAGGGTCTTTGACCTTATGAATGCCATCCCATGTGTCCTCATATGAGTTTTCAAATGTCCTTCAGTCTCAAACGTATTCCCACACACCTTACATTTGGTATTTGGCGTCCCGTCATTGTTCTCATCTACAACATCCAGTTGGTTTTCCCGTTGACTCTCTTCATCTTCCCGGTCTCTCCCATTATATCTACCAAGACTCTTGAGCTCCTTTAGCCGATGGACGATGAAGAGGTGTCGGGCCAGCGAGCGGGGGGAGGTGTAGCAGAGTCCGCACTCCTGACACTGGTGGGACGAGCCATCAGACTTGTGCTGGGGAATGTGCGTGTGGAAAGCAGCAATATCCTCAGTGGCGAAGCCACAGACGGCACATTTGTGATTTTTGGGGACGTTCACTTTTAGTCTCTTCAATGGTTGTGAGTCGGAACCCCTGGAGTTCAAGCCTGGAGACCCCTCATCTTCATCTGGATTTCTTTTGGGGCTTCGGTTCTGAAAAGAAAGCAAAAGATGAGCTCAGGAAAATAGCTTTGCTATGAAGTGCAAAACTCATTGGCATCAATCTAACAAAG